CAACGTTTCATATATACTATTATTTATGTCAAAACATGCCATTAAAAAGCACTTTACATAAACAAGAAAAGTACAAAAAATGGAAAACATCATTTTAAATTGACATGTTTAACATTAAATTAATAAGTCAGCCAATGTGATGATTAAGTTTATTATCAGACAGGAATGGGACGTTGTGAAACGTCAATAGTACATATTATGTTTTGAATTCGTCTACATATAAAGATGAGTATATTTTTAGAAAAATTTAGTTAAAAAATTAAAAAAAAATTTTTTTTGTAAAGAAAGTTCCTGCAATTGAAAAATTTTTGGCAAGAAAGTACCTTCATTTTGAAAAAAAATTTTTTTGGAAAGGAAGTTCCTTCATTTTGAAAAAAATTTTTTTGGAAAGGAAGTTCCTTCATTTTGAAAAAAAATTTTTTTTTGTAAAGAAGGTTTCTTCTAATAATTTTTTTTTGTAAAGAAAGTTTCTGCATTTGAAAAAATTTTGGAAAGAAAGTTTCTGCATTTTGAAAAAATTTTGGAAAGAAAGTTTCTGCATTTAAAAATTTTGGAAAGAAAGTTTCTGCATTTAAAAATTTTTGGAAAGAAAGCTTCTGAATTTGATTTTTTTTTGTAAAGAAAGTTTCTAGATTAAAAATTCTTTGTAAAGAAAGTTTCTGCATTTGAAAAATTTTGGAAAAAAAGTTTCTGCATTTTGAAAAATTTTGGAAAGAAAGTTTCTGCATTTTGAAAAATTTTGGAAAGAAAGTTTCTGCATTTAAAAATTTTTGGAAAGAAAGCTTCTGAATTTGATTTTTTTTTTGTAAAGAAAGTTTCTAGATTAAAAAATTCTTTGTAAAGAAAGTTTCTGCATTTAAAAAAATTTTTGGAAAGAAAGTTCCTTCTTTAAAAAAAAATTTTATTGTGAAGAATTTGGCCCCCGACCAACCTTTATTCTTGAAACAAACTACTGACCGGTCAGTTGGGCCAGCGCTTTTTCAACTCTTTTGTAGCCGGAGGGCGTAAACAAACATGACCACGTAATTTTATGGGAAAACCTTTCTTTCTTGGCTTGGGCTGATTGCTCATACTCAACTTGTTCGTATGTTGGTCACTTTTTATGACCTACGGCTACTGCTTTAGGGGTTATTTTGGGCTACTGTAAACTTTGGGTACTGTAGTGTAGTGTAGGGTTGGGTAGAGTAGGGTAGGGTAGGGTAGGGCTTGTTATCTAAAAACCAAAAGTTTAACCCCCCCCCCAATTTAGCGAATTCAGAACTCCACTGTTCTTCACCGTGAGTAATCCCAACCTCGCGATGTCAACATATATTGACCATCATGTTTGATATTGTAATCACCCAAAACCCCCATTTTAGCGAAAAACATTTCTGATAACCGCCGGTTGATAAGCGACAAAGACGTTTCGAACATTTTCGATTTTCTTGTTATTTTAAGGCTGTCTGACGTGATCCGTCATGGGTTGGGATGTATTTGGTTGTTTTGGGGGTGGTTTTTGACTTTTGAGGTTTTAAGGCTTATGTTAAGGGTTTTAAGCTTAGTTTTTTAGTTTTAAGCTTGTAAGTTAATATATATTACGTGCCGACATAAAAAACCCGCCATTTTTTTCAGAAAATTACAGGAAAAGTATGGCGGGTTCTTTATGTCGGCGCCTAATGTTTTACTGTTCAATTTAGCAAAATGTAACAAACACGTTGAAGATACATAGAAAGATCATAGGTTACCTTTATAAACGTCATAGCTTAACAATAAGAGATGCATCATTTAGACGTATTACTTTTTTAATCAAATTACAGTAGCTGTGTCTATTTATTACTACGCTGGACTTCCTATATAAAAATTTTAAAAAATTATATTGTACAAATTTTTCTACAACGGATACCTCTATAACGACATTTTATATAAATAACTTCTCTACAAGAAACTTCCGTATAACGAACTTCTGTATAACGTAAATCCTGTATAAAGAGTGACTTGTTAAATCCGTGTCCAACGCTAAATAGTACATTTAAAACTTTTGTATAACGAAAACTCCTTTATAACGAACAAATTTAAAATAACCAAGCGATTTGTTATCCAGGAGTTTTACTATATTCTCTTCTATATCAAAGTAAATGTCATGCGAAAAAGTTTGTTTTTGTAATACTGTGACATTTTTGGTACTTGTTTTGGCATTTTTTTCAAATTTTAGAGTAGTAATTGATTCTGTAAGAAGTTAGGAGCTTGCATTTAAAATTTTTGGTTTCTTGCACTGTGCAACCCTTAAATATACAGTGGAACTTCTGTATAACTAAACGCGCGGGGACTTGAAATTTGTTTGTTATGAAGGAGTTTCGTTATACAGGAGTTTTAAATGCACTGTATAGTAGTAGAGGGGAATCAAAAAGTTGTTTGTTATACGGGACTTTCGTTGTAGAGGAGTTTGTTATACAGGAGTTGCACTGTATTAAAAAACTCTAATAGGTAGTGTCTAAAAACTTGAGCATGCTATTACAGAAAAATTCACGTTTAACAATTCGTTTTGGCATTTAGTGATAACGTTGTTTGTTACAAAGGAGCTTCGTTATACAAGGGTTTTAAATGCACTGTGTGGTGATATATGGGGATTTAAAAGTTGTTCGTTATACAAGAGTTTGTTATAGAGCAGTTCGTCATAGGAGAGTACGTTGTGGAAGATTTGGTTATAGAAGGCATTTTTGTAGAGAAGATTGTTATAAAAAAGTTCTTTGTAAAGGAGTTTGTTGTAGAAGAGGTCGTTATAGAGGAGTTGCTTACAGAAGAATTGGTTATATAAGAAATCTTTATATAAGAGTTCGTTGTACGGTTTTACAGTATTTACTGTTTATAAAAATCTTCTCCTTTCCTACTCATTAGTTTTATAAACATAGGTTCCTGAAACCCCTAAACTATATCAAAACATTGTGATAATTGCGCGAATTTGAGCTTTGCTTTTGATACGTGCGACGCGGAATAATTCTCTCATCTGTCGCCACTATTAATGACCACAAAATACAATGGGAAACTACTCGAAGCTACCTGAAAGCGACCTCAAATTTGTATAAATATACAGCAAATTATACAATTATGAGGTGGTTGGTACAACTATGAGGTTGTTGGGGGTGGTATTACAATATTCGTCATAGGAAAAAGGGGAACAGCGTATAACATCATATATCTTAGTTTAGTAAGAATGTTGTAGATAGGAAAACCTTGTTGATAAGCAAAGTAAATAAGTTTAGGCACGGCCTAACCAAGTTTTTCTCAGGCCGGCTCGTTCAAATTTTTTATTAGGTGCCGACGTAAAGAACCCGCCATACTTTGCCTGTAATTTCCTGTAAAAAATGGCGGGCTCTTTATGTCGGCACTTAATACTTGCAGACGGGCTGGTCTTTTCCAGGTATTTTGGGCCGGGTCTTGAATTCCAGGCTCAGCCCGACTTAAATTTTGTTCAGGTCTGTTCTGCTCTTCATGCCTAGGCTACACTGGTATTGCTGAGCTTGGGTAGGGCAGGGTAGGGCATGTAGAAACTATTAGGCATGGCCAAAGTCCTAGGACAAGGTAGGATATATCAGGATAGGCTGAGATCTGGTAGAGTACGGTAGGGAAGAATAGAGTAGGGTAGTGTAGGGTAAGGTAGGTAAAAACACTTTTTATACTGGGTTCTTCAAATAATTCTGTGCCTCCTAACTCAGAAAATTTTCGCTAAGAGAGGGCACAGAATAATCTGAACAACCTAAACGTTTGCTGAGTCATGTCTAAAAGATATGACAATGCAAACGTAGCAAACCACATATGAGATTAGGTAATGAGAACGTAACCCAGATGATTCCATTTTTCTCTCGGATCTTCTGACTTTCGACTGTTTTTTCTTCGAAATTCAAGCGATGAAAACAAAATTTTTCTTTTACTTTTTGTGCCCTTGAACCGGCGCAGGGAATCAACGGATTTTCACCTATCAAATCCCGATTTTCCTGAAATTTCGTTTTATTTATTTTCCTTTTTGCTTCGGGGGGTGCATTTGCGGTTTTGTGGAATTTTTGGAGGCTTTTGGCTTATTAGAGAAAGGTATAATAATATTGTTAGAAATAGGTCTTTATGGGCTTAAAGGTAAATTTGTAGAAAGGCCGGACTGCGCAGATTGGGCTTACTTTCAGGTATACTTATAAGTAAATAAGTGCAGAGTACGGTCAATATTGTTGGCAAACGGACTTTTTGACTTATTTTGGGTGGGATTTAGCTCTGGGCTAGGGCTAAAGGTTGATCTAGGTATAAGGGCTAAGGCTAGGGCTTGGGTTAAGGCTAGATGAGGACTAGAATAAAGTCTAAGGAGTTGGGTAAGGCTAACTTTAGGATCAGGGCTGATACTTAGACAAGGCTTAAGCTAGGTCTAAGGGCTAGAGCTCTGGGCTAGGGCTCTGGGCTAGGGCTCTGGGCTAGGGCTCTGGGCTAGGGCTCTGGGCTAGGGCTCTGGGCTAGGGCTCTGGGCTAGGGCTCTGGGCTAGGGCTCTGGGCTAGGGCTCTGGGCTAGGGCTTTGGGCTAGGGCTCTAGGCTAGGGCTCTGGGCTAGGGCTCTGTGTTGAGGGTAGGGTTGGAGCTGTACGTGGGCTAAAGTAAGACTAATATATAAGTAGTTTAGCCCTACCCACGCTTAAAAATGTCATTTTAAAACTTTTTTTAAAGTTTTTAAAATTTTTTTTCAAAACTAAGTTACCAAACCATCTAGTTTATGTCTTTCTTTCCTCGTACCGCTCAGTGTCGCTGACGGAAATGATAAACGATGTTTTACTTTGGGATTACTTTATCAGTAGAAGGAGGGATAATCACTGTTTAGACGTTTTTAGAACTTTTTCCTTTAGTTTTTGAAGGTTTTTGACTGAATTTTATTGTAGAATTGGTTGTTTTTTCTGTATTTTTACCAATTTTTAATAATTTTAAAAAAAATTTTTTTAAATTAAAAAATTTTTTAAAACTTTTAATTTTTTGCTACTTCAGGGTACACAATGGAAGGTGTGACGTTGCAAGCATGCCTTGCACTAGTAATGTTCATCACAACGTTAACAGCCGGCTTGGTGCCTTTAAAAGTAAGTCTTTTTACCCTACCCTACCCTACCCTACCCTACCCTACCCTACCCTACCCTACCCTACCCTACCCTACCCTACTCTCTCTTACTATACAGTACCAGAATTACTGTGAAAAGTTTCTTTTGGTACTTTAACTGGCTTTTTTGCTAGTACTTTAACATTTTTGAAGTTACAGTAAATGAAACATTTTTTTGCTAATTTTTGTCATTTTTAAATACACTTTCATTATAAAATGACCTTTTTAAATAGAAATAATATTTTTCAGCTTCTACGTTACATGGCCAAGCAAGGACAGCACGCTCAACGCCGACATTCTTGGATTCTAACGCTGTTATCTTGTTTTGCCGGAGGCGTTTTCTTGGGAACTTGCTTCTTGGACATTTTTCCTCACGTCAAGTAGGTTTTCTTTTTAGTCTTTGAAATTTTAAGTGATAAATTTCAAAAAGTTCAGGGCATCTTTCATCGTATAAAACGACTCCGCGGACTGCAAAACCTAATTTCTTAATAAAACTGCCATTTTAGCCTAAAAGTTCAATAAGTAAATCAAAGTAATGTTAAAAAGTTTAAAAAATTTTAATTTTAATAAAATTTAAGAACTGTCAACGAAAAATGGCAGTTTTTTGGACACTTTTCATCGTATAAAACGACTCCGCGGGCTGCAAAACTTCTTTTTTTCAATAAAACTGCCATTTTTGAACTAAAATTATGATTTTTAAGATTAAAGTAATGTATTAAATTGTAAAATACGCTCCTTTTTTCTACTAAACCAAATAAAAAATTGTTTTAGACATCAAAATTTTAAATTTAAAAATTTTCAGTGGAAATTTCGAAAAGTACAAGGATACCTACGGAATGAAGTTTGCTTACCCATTACCTGAGTTTCTAGCTTGTATGGGTTTCTTCTTGGTCTACTTTTTCGAAGAAATCAGTCTGAAAGTGTTCTCATCTCATGGTCACACTCATGGTCCAGCTACCTCTCCACAGTAAGTTGTTTTACAGTAAGACGAAGCTGTATGTTACTAAAAGTATTGAGTAAAATACGGTGTTTTGCGCTTTTTTCAGATTTTCAAATAAAAAAATGTATAAAAGATTGCTTGAAACGTTATGCCAAGAAAAATAATTTGGCGGGAAATTTAAAATTTGAATTTTACAAATTTTAAATTAACGTTAATTTTGAAATTATTTTTAAAATAAAATTAATTTACATTTTTCAGGTCATTCGACACCTCAGTGGATCATAACGAAAAAGCCAATGGCTATAACGGGGCAACCACGATCGATGTTGTAGTAGATGAAGAAGATGGCTTCAGGGACAGGAAGTTCAGCACAGTCGAGCCATACCCGGCTGTTTTGACTCATGAGTATGTGTAAAATACGGTTTCGGATGTTTGTTGGTTTTTTTTTTAATTTTATATTTAAATTTCAATTTAGAAAATTAAATTTTTTTGAAATTTTTTGAAATTTAAATTTAAAAAAAAATTTTTTTATTTTGGCTACTGTAGTAGTATGTATTTCTAAAAATTTTATACTAAAAATTTGTCTATTTGTAATCTTTTGCTCATAAAAATCGACCAAAACCACCTACATCAATATATTACTTTAGGCACGTGATGGACGAATCCGTTCGCTACGTAAACTCAGAATCCTCGAGTGGCGGCATCCTCAAGTCAATCACCTTTGCCTTTGTAATGTCATTCCACTCAATTCTGGAAGGATTTGCCCTAGGTGTTCAAGAAGAAAAGTCCGGCATCATCACCTTGTTCATCTCCCTGATCATCCACAAAGGGATCGAAGCCTTCAGCGTGGGGCTACAAGTCTCTCGTGGCATCAGCTCATCGAAAAAGCAGAAGAAGATTTTGGCCAACATCTTAACCATCTGTGTCTATGCCCTAATGACACCAGTCGGCTCAATGTTGGGTGTTTTGTTGACAACATGGGACATTGATCCTATTAAGCGGGACATGTTCGTCATCATTCTGGAAGGATTCGCGGCAGGAACGTTCATTTACGTAACGTTCTTCGAAGTGTTGGCTCAGGAGAAGGCCAACGACCATTCAAATCTGATCCAATTAGCCGCGATTGTGCTTGGTTTCACCTGTATTGCACTATTACAACTGCAGGAGCATCTCGGAAGGTAGGATAATATGATTTTGTTTTTGGTGTAGTTAATTTTTAAATTGGTTTTGAATGTTGAAAAAGCGTATAGGTATGTAATAGACTACTGGGAACATTTTTGTAGTTTGCAACTTTTTGATAGGACTACTGTAAGATACAGTATTTTAGAATTTTTTGTGCTTATCGTGAATTTGAGCTCATATACTTAGAAAAAAGCTAACGTACCTTTGCAAATAGGTAATAGAAAAGGCTAATATTGCACAGCTATATATAATAGACTATGGAGAATATTTTAGTAATTGATTGTTTTTTGGTAAGGCTACTGTAAAGTACCGTATTTTAAACGTTTTTGGAATAGGATGAGTTTGGGTTTATATACCTTGAAAAAAGCTTATGTATCTTTGTAAATAGGTCACATAAAAAGTTAAAACTACACAGATATATGTGTTATGCTATGGCAAACATTTTTATAGTTGACGACTTTTTGGTTTGATTACTGTAAAGTACTGTATTTGAAATTTTACTTTGAAAAAGGGATGTTTTTTGGGGTAAAACGGCCTGTTTTGGTCTTTTTCAATCATTTACATTTGTTAGAGTATGAAAAAAAATTTTTTTGTATTTACATTATCTTATAGTACCTAACAAAGTCCTTTTCAATAAGAAAACTTTTTTTTCAGTGGAGGCCACGGACATGCGCACGGTTAGATGGTGAACATAGGTACCGTAATATGCTTTAATGTGATGTTCAATATTCAATAGGAAACCAAAACACTTCACTCATGTAAATATTTACGTCTGATTCTTATATATACTGTAATTTAGTTATACTGTAACTTTTTTTTGCATTTTCATACGCATATCACTTATAGTGACATAGCTACATATTGTGCCTTTTTTAATCTAATACGATGTAAAATGTTAGTCTATCAGAGTTGGTACATGGACTATGTGTCTTGTAGTACATTACAGTACTATACTTTGTCGTACTGTAACCTGATTTTACTACATATCACCTTTTCTTCATTATCTTATCTATGTATACCTACTACAACATATCAAGCTGATTTACCATGCTAATTTTCAATTTTTAACTGTGGTATTTTTGGACTTTACTGTGGTAAACTTAGTTTTTTATCACTGTAAATCTAATTTTACCCTATGTGTCTTGTAAAACAGAATTTTTTTCATTTACTGACGATTACATTTCGAAAAATGTAACAAGATATGGCTACTGTAACATACCATCTCATGCTACCACTTATGGTCTATATTTGTATTGTAAACCCGAATTGTTCAAATTACAGGGTTTTTACTGTGTTTTAAAGTCTTTATTACAGTATTAAAACGAGTTCTTAATGTCATATATGGCTTGCAATTACAACATACAATAAATTTTAATTATAATGTAAGGATACAAGAGTTACTGTTATTTATTGATTATTTAATGCTTCAATTAATATTGTATTGCCATTAGGACTAGATGTGGGGATTAAGGTGGGCCTACTTTCAAGCTGGGTAGGCCAGGCCTACACGGCTCGTTTCTCACCTCTGGCTACTGAGAGACATGGGACGGACCGGACATGGGTTTTGGGCCGTCCCGATTTGCTTTACTCAGACCTGGCATCGTCTGTTAGGTCATTTATTGATTGTGGTACCAATAAGAAATCAAAAAAATTTTAAAAAATCAAAAAATAATTTTAAAATAAAAAAAAATTTAAGCCCAGACTTACTTTTCTTTTGCCTTTGGCCCAGTCCTAAACTTTAAACCCTGTCCGATTTTCATTTTACTAAAGCTTGCCTTGGCTCGCTCTCCATGGGTTGTTATCAAAAGTGACTGAGGCTATCAAGAATGTGAATTTAAAATTGATACTATTTTTTATTAGTTGCCAACATACAGGACGCGCCATACTTTTCCTGTAATTTCCAGTAAAAAATGGCGGGTTCTTTATGTCGGCATTTGATACATTAACTCGTTTACTAATTAAAAATAAATGTACAGTCCTGTATAACTGATCGCTCGGAAACTTGAAATTTGTTCATTATAAAGGAGTTTCGTTATACAAAAGTTTTAAAATTTATTTTGATATGTTGAATAGATCAGTAAAAGTTATCTTCTTATCGCTTCTGATTTGGTTGATATGTTTTTGCTCGGTTTCGTACTCTTCAACAATGGCATTAAATTTATTCAGCACTTGAGGATCAACGTTTTTGTCGTTTCGACTTTCTTCACAACATGTTTTTTCCAGCTCGATATCAAAAAGCGAATGATGACGTTTTTCAGTTGGATAAGACGAGAAATATTTAAAGTTCAGCTTTTCTAAAAAATCAATGGATTTTAAGTTGTTTCCAGCTTCTTTTGTGAAAAAATGAAAAATGAACAAACCTTTGCTCCAATCATTAAAGACTATGTGATCCCTGTCAGTATCACGGCACAACTTTAGGATAAAATCCCTTGAGTGCGATGGTTGAATGGTTAACGAACTGTTCTTTAGTAATGTTAATAAGCTGTGGCTTTCCTTAACCCACACTTTTCGTTTTTGATTAAAGTGCAGAAGCTGCAAAATTACTGTTTCATACAATTTTTATAGTGACCCTACTTTACCCTACCCTATTCTATCTTACCTTAACCTACCCTACCTAAAGTATCAAGAGTAAACAATGGCCCAATAAATCATCCTAGACTTACTCTTTCCTTCGCTACTTTTCCTTACCTTGCTTTGTCCTACTCTACTCCTTTATACTATACTTTACCTTACTCTACTTTATTGTATTGTTATCTGATCTACCCTAACCTTTTAACAATAAAAAAAACTTTTCTAAAAATTTGTCTTTGTAAAAACTTACTTCAACAGTTTCAAAGTTGAACAAGGCGTAGTCCGAGAACAAGTTCCAGTAACGATGCTTATAGTCAGTGTGAGAAAACACCAACTTCTTTTCTTTAATACTGTATATATGAAAGCTTCCTCTGCCTAAAACAATACATTAACTTCAAAAATTTTAAAATGCTTTCGAAAAACTTAAATTTTAAAAAATAAAAAATTTCAACTTACAAAACAAGTATATCATGTTAGTATTACGTGATATAAGTGCGAGTGAAAGGTCCACGACATCAACTGTATTGCTCTCATTACTAAGATAATCATTTAGTACCAACTGTCCCACCTTTGTCTGGTATATGTTGTACCTTCTGAAGTCCTTCAAACAAAGATCCTGTACTTTCTCTTCAATTACATTACCGTCTAACACAAACTGCTTATCATTATGTAGATCAACATATACGTTATCACGGTAAACACAAAACATATCATTGCATTTCCAGTTATAATCGTATTCAGCACTTATTTTGTCTTCTTCTATATCGTATACAACTGTAGCCCCATTCATAGCTACAATAACACGAGTGCCTCGGTTAACCAACTTTGCTTCTCTGATCAAGCCGGTAGCTTCCAAGTCGTTAGGGTTTCCCTCGATATATTTCCGAAAGTCTAGCAGTTTAAACTCTTTTAAGCCGAAATTAATGTTGCTAATCAACAAGTGCTCGTCTAGATATATCACTATTCTTCCAGTATACAAGCAACAATTTGCATCGGCAAATGTACTGTGATGACGGAATAAAATCAGCCTTTATTAGACGTATAAAGAGGCCGGGCCTAAAATTATTAGATCGTTCACTTAATTCTGCGCCCTTTCTTTAAACAAAAATTTTAAAAGTGCTTTGGTAGGCTGTGGCGCCGCTGGCTATTCGGAACGAACTTGTTTAAACCCTACTATCTACAGTGGAACTCCTGTACAACGAATCGCTCGGGGATTAGAAATTTGTTCGTTATAAAGGAGTTTTGTTATACAGGAGTTTTAAATGCACTGTGTAGTGATAGACGGGGATTCAAAAGTTGTTCGTTATACGGACTGTTCGTTATAGAGGAGTTCGTTATACAGGAGTTCCACTGTATATATTCCTCAAAGCGTCTGGCCCAACCCAGACGTCGTGAAGAATGGGTAGTGCTATGTGCACGGGAACTTACTGTTGAAACGCATAACCCCAAGTCTCATTTTTCAGTCGATATATTACATTTCGGTAGCAATAACGTTTAAAGTCTAGTCCAACAACTTTATAAAGAAAGCTGTCAATGGTGGCCAATGTACAAGTACTCTCCATGTCATCCATAAAACGGATTATATGTCGCCAAACCTTAAAAGTTAAATAAATTACAAATACTGAAGCCTTGATCTTGTGTCTTGACAATTCTAGATTTGCGACAATTACAGCAATATTGGTTCTTCTACCCTTCCTCTTACCTATGCTTCCTAAACTATTGCTTAAACTTAGGCTTATCCCAATGAGACTTAGTTCGATTTTTTAAGATAATTTAGCCTCAAGTCTTTTCTTCTGGCTCAATAAATGCCACTTTTTAATCAAGGAAATAATGTTTTTACTAAATTTTTAAATACTTACTTCATTAGGCAATTTCGGCAACATTTTTGTAGACAATAAAACTAGCTATATTGGAATAACTAGCTGATATCGTATTTTAAGGCATTAGAAGAGTATAAAAAGAGTAATTTTTTGAAATAAAATTAAAGAACAAGCGTTAATCTTATAGGTTTTTACATTACTTTCTTGTTAAATATAAAAACAGAAAAAAGAATAATTTTCTATTTTTTATTTACAACGCAAAAATTGATTGAAGGGCTTGCGGCTAAGTGTCAAAGCAATCTATTCTAATCCGCTCTTGACCTAAAAATGGGAAACGGGCAGGACGGGTTGGTGTAAAAGAAAAAACGAGCCGGGATTAAAATTCAGGAATGGCTCGAGGGCAGGGTTGGCAACAGGGCAGGGCATATGCCCTGTAACAGGGCATTTTTGAACTTTTTTTTGGCGCGCTTTTTTTAAAATTTTTTTGGCTAGGCCTAAAAACGCAAAAATTTCTAGAAATGGGTTTTAAACACTGTCAATCCATTATACGTTGTTATTTTCTTGATAACTATTAAAGTTTTCAAGATATGAGTTTGGCGGGAAAACGAAATTAAAAAAAATGCCCTGTTGAAATGCCCTGCCCTGTTGCCAACCCTGCTCGAGGGTCAGTAACAAAAACAGTAAGAAAAGCTTACCTCAACGTGCCGGTCTCTGGTCTACCTTGCCATCGGTCTGAAACTTCTTACCTAAAATGAAACAAATAATTATTTAAAATTGGTCTTAATTTAGAACATATATGTCTACATGCAGAAGCCATTATTTACATACATATAAACTTGGTCTTATTATATTATGATACATTTATATTTCACTTACCTTAAAATCGCGTGTGCTAAAAGGCACAAAAAACACCTTTGAATCCTTTAAATTCTCAAAACAATACTTTTCTAAACAATAAAAGTAAAATTTTATGTTTTTTAAGAAAACATTAATGTTTATTAAATATGTATTAGATATTAAAGAACACCAATTTAGGTTAATATACATAGCAAATCAACCATAAGGTTGGAATAAATCGGTTCGCAAAAGCGAAAAAAAAGATAAAAGAGAAAACTCTTTTTTTTGAACGCGCTTTTCCCGCGCTCTCTTTTTTTCCCTGATTTGTTGCGGAATGACTAATTGTTGATTTACCCTGAATGGGTCTTTAAGTAAAATGAATAAACTGGCAAAACAAAAAAAAATTTTTTTTAAATTTAGGCTTGAAGTAAAGGCCAGGCTTGAAAAGTAGGTCGGGCTCGGCCCGGCCTTTTCCTGTGTTCTAGTCGGGCCGACCTTGAGCAAATTTTTATGGCTACCTCAATTTTGTTTTTTCCCATAAAAAATAGTTGACAATTCAAATATAATGTTTCAAAAAATTATACCTTTGCGAAAACATATAAAGCATAACATCTTGTCAAAGTAAATCTGTTTCCTTGAAGTTGAATTTGAAATGTCCAAGTTGGAACAATTTGTTCATAAATTTGACAATTTTTGTGATTACACATCTATTGTCGGATTTCGATTATTTAGGTCTGAAAATCCGAGATGGTTACGGTAAGATACTTATTTTTAAAACGATGGCAAATTTGATACTGTAGGACACTTATGGGTACTAGTAGGTGCTAGAATGTGTATATGTGACTTAGTACGTACTGTATTAAAAGTTTGAGTATCAGTACTATTACGTAATTTAGAATAAGTGGGAGTATTAGTACTAGTAAGTAAGGTAATATAACTTTGTGTATTCGTATTAGTACTAGTAAGTAAGGTAATTTTGAGTATTAGTACTAGTACTAGTAAGTACTGTACTTTACATTTAAGTATTTGTACTAATAAGTAAGATAAGTTTTAGTGTTTGTACGTATCGTAGAATAACTTTGAGTACTATTAATAATAAGTACTGTAAGATATTTTCTAGCACTAGTGCTAGTAAGTAAAGTAAAAATAACTTTGCGTGTGGTAGTACCAATACAAGTGTTGGTAAGAGTTGTAGGAAACGGAGTACTGAGTACGAGTACTAGTAAATTTTAAGTGTTTAGCAAAAGTACTCGTACTAACAAGCTTGTTGGTCTTTTTTTTAGTTTATTTTAAGCTTATCAGCCCTTGGAATTTATATAACATTCTCGGTGATGTTCTTTATGCAAACGAAGGATGCGTTTCTTCGTTTTCTTGATCCAAACAAGATTCCTGTACCCACCTTCAGTGTCTGGGTCCATAAAAACATTACTCGGCCGTCAGTTGTCATATGTCCTAATCAGGAGTTTGTAGGGTGGGTTTCGTACTACTATATTATAGTAGGCCGACAAAAACAACGATATAAAATATAAACTTAAAGCTGTTTAAATTTTTTAAAATGACTTTTTTTAACTTAAAAAATAATTTTTAAAAATTGTTTTAGTTTAATGGTTAACAGTACTGACCATGGCATATTCGACATGAAATTGTACAAGTTTGATACTATGAATAGTACTAATGTTACAAACACAAATGACTTGATGAGTTCGATGATGAGTAATGGAGAAATGGCTAGAAATTTAACATTGTTTGATGAACTTGAAGCGGCCGAAAAAGTGACTACAATCACAGTATAGTAGGTTTAGCCTTAGCCCGAAGCCCTAGCCCAGAGCCCTAGTCCAGAGCTCTAGCCCAGAGCCCTAGCCCAGAGCCCTAGCCCAGAGCCCTAGTTAGAGCCCCATCCCAGATCCTTAATACAGAGCTTTAGCCTTAGCCTCCTATACAGATCTACTTTAATATATTAAGATGTTTCAGTACTCAATTGAATGCCGGCCCAGCAGTTTATGAATACATTGACCATAATGATCATGGTCGTTGTGTATGTTTCAGTACTAAGCACGAAAATGTGTATGGAAGGAAAAGTGGGTATTTTTGTACATATTTTACTCTATTACTGAGCAAACCAACATAGTTACTGTATAGTATATGTATATGAGACAACCAAGCTCTCTAAATATATATTTGTGATCTATAGTATGAAGTGTATCATATATTTAGTACCAATTATATCTTATATATAGTATATACATAGTTCTTTTGATGATATGATTATAGACATTGAAAGCACTCAAACGATTCAAGACTTTATTTTATTTCGAAGCACTTATCAAGATGTCGATGTAGATGAAGAAACAAACTCGTATCTAGTTGGTTACCTGTATAACACAGAGTTTGGGTTCATGAACACAATAACAATGTATTCTGGCAACTTCTTACAAATTAACATTGATGGATTCACTAAAACTATAGTAAGTTGTTTTCTTTTTTAAAATGTGTCAATTTTTTTAGAACATTATAAATGATGATGTTACAAAAGAACTAGAAGTAAATGGTAAGTCAGCAAAGTATAATAATAGATTCAATACACTTGAAAAACAAAAATTTTCAGAATATAAGGCCGATCACACTAATCGACCGCTAAGTATGGAAATTTTGGATGCGTTTGATGAAGGAGAATTTGATGATTTTGCTGCCCTTACTGATCAGGATGACAATGCCAAACAGTAATTTTAATTCTTGCTTTTTCCTAATTTAAAATTTTTTATTTTCAGGTCTGCATCCCACAGTCATAAACATCATGAACACGTTGAGAGGACCGTAGAAGAAGATGAATTTATATTGTAAGATAATTTAAATAAAATTTTGATTTTTAGAAATTTCTGACAACTTTTTGAAATTTAAAAGTTATTTTTTAAGACACAACTCGTTTGTAGTGAACATACTGTACCGTAACTACATTACACAAGAGATACTGTACTCGGACGACTTTTCTTTTTGGACGTTGTTAAGTAAGTTCATTTATAAATGGTTTTACTGTGAGTTGACGTAGCTTATATTACTACTGAAAACTTATATAAACTTTATTATGTTCTGAAATTACTATGATACATTACTATGGTATAGCAGAAACTGTTAAACTGTGACATTTTAAGATCACTCTGTTATGTTATGATAGTCAACTTTATACCTAAACCTAAAATTTTCAGCCGAAGTAGGAGGAGCTCTCGGCTTATATTTTGGTGTTACAGTAATCACAGTCTACGAAACCATGTTCTTCTTCTTTACAGTACGAGAAGTGAAGCCAGTACGAGAGAAAGATTTGGACAAGAAGTTGACTAAGAAGATACTGTACTTGAAAGAAAACAACACTCAAGATTTGGCTAAATTACCCATGCCTTTAAATTTATAATACCTAGCCTTAGCCTTTAAATAAATTGAAACCTATAGATTCAACGTACGAAACTAGAGTATGTCGTCACCTGCTGATGTTTGTTTAATGGATTTATAACATGTCCACTATATGATGTCCCCCTCTCGCGTGTAAACCAAACATACGAGCCCACCGAACGGGTTTTATTTATTTTTATTTTTTTTGTGGTTTTGAACCGAATTTTGAAATTTTTAAAATTAGCAAAATATATGGTTGGTCAAATAATTTTGTGCCCTTTAATCTTTTAAATTTGTTTTAAGAAGGAGCACAAAATTATTTGAACTTGATTTAGATGGTATAACATTAAAAGCTTGGTATTGGCAATAACTAGGACTTTATACATAGTATATACATTGTGTTTTCTATAAAATGTGCGTTTTTCTAAAAACTTTTTGACCCCAAAATCAATAAGCAAAAGGCAACAAGTAGCAAGACGTATAAAACATGAAAAGAAATGTAATTTGAGTTCTGTTTACCTTAGGAATCTTGACCTGTTTTTTGAAATTTTTAGCAACTTTTTAATTTTTATTTTTTAAAAATAATTTTTTAATAAATTTTGGCCAATTTTTATAAAAGTTAGCTAAAAAATAGAAAAAGATGTTTCAAATTGTGTGTTCGTATTCATTGTTTGTATACATAGTTCTTGTATTGTTTCCAATGATGGTTAATAAGGTTGAAACATTATGAATGGTCATATTATGCTAGTTTTGTTGGTGTTCTTTTTTGGTTATAGATTATATTAGTATAAGCTTTAATTTAGCCTAGATTTGTCATAATAATTCTGCATATCTTGCTAGCTTCTGCAGCAATACCTGTGAAAATTAAAAAAACCTGTTTTAATCAACAGAAAAGGATACGTTTAGCTTTAGCCTAATCCTTAAACTGAGGTTGAACCAAGGCTAAAGACTTCGCCTTAACCATAGCGCTAGTCTTACCCTTAGCTTCAGTTTAGCCTGAACCTTAACTTTTGAAAAATAATTTTTTTGTATAGCTCCCTTCTTCCTCTCGTCTTTTTGCTTTCAAAACATTAAGTATGCCTTAACTTTCTACTAGTTCTACCTTATTATTATGCTGGCTTATCCTAACCTTACTCTAGACCTATCTTACAACATTTGTAGTTCTAGTTTTAACACCTTAGCATTAATTCTAGCCGTAAAACTATCGCAACCCTTTCCGAAGCTTTGATCTAGCCTTGTCTTAACCTAGCTTTACCATAGTAGCCCTGCTCTAACATTACCGTAAGCTTATCCTAGCTCTACCCTAAGCTTACACTAGCTCAACCGTAGCCGGTTAGGTGTATTCTAGTCTTACTTTTCTCAAAATTTATATATATTTTGTTAATCTTTTTCTTAGGCTTACATTAATCTAATCATAGCTCAGTTGGTTCTGTCGTAATTTTACTTTAATCTTGCTGTTGCCAAGCATCTGCTATATTATTTGACTAAAAAAATAAAAATAATTAGGTGTAATGATATTAATTGCCCTTTAGTCTAAGAAATCTCAAAAAGTAAAAAACATAATGGAATATGACAAATGATAATATAACCCAGGCCATTCCCAAATGATGGATATAAAAAAGTCGTTCTTTTTGTCATAAAACTTGGTCGAATCAAGGTCGAGGAGAGAGAGCAGATCCGAGAACTTATTTATTTACATTCCAGCTTTTCTTGGCTAATCTTTTTAACGACATTAGAAGAGTGTGGGGTGTGGTAAATTGGGAAGAATGGGTGTGGTCGGATTGGAGAAGGGTAATATTGCCAAATCTTTAGTTTTTTTATAAAATGCTTAATAAATATAATATAGTATATTATAGTAGAAATTCTGTAGAACGAATCGTTCGACGATTTGAAAGGTTTGTTAAAGAGGAGTTTTGCTATAAATAAACTTTAAATATTGTGTTGTGTTGGCCGGGGACGCAAAAGTTGTTCATTATGTAAGGTTTTTGTTATACGAGAGTTCTTTATATAGGAGTTGTACTGTATAACCAAAAATGCCAAAATTTCTGTGTTTTTTAAATTTTTTAAGATTTGTAAAGAAAGTTTTTGCAGTTTTTTAATTTTTAAATTAGCTGTTTTAGATTTTACGTTTTGTAAAGAAAATTCTTGCATTTTTTTATAAAGTAAAAAATTTAGTATTTTGCAGTCTGCAGGTGACAAGTTATACGAGCGCTATCTGTTTTCTTTTGTTTTTGACGAAAGTTCTTGCCATTTTTTAGTTTTTAAAACGAATTTTGCTATTTTTTATTTGTAAAAAAAGATTTAGCTACTTTTTAGTTATCACTCAGTAAAGTACATTTTTTTTCAGCCGTAAGTCAAGTTTGCAAGCCTACGTTGTCACACTCATTTCAAGCCAGTATGGTCAAATGGCTACTGACACTTCTATTTTTATCAATTTATCAGTTTAGAAATGTGGCTGGTCAAACAGGTAACATTTTGTTATAAATCAATTTCAAAGATTTTATATGACATAATGATGTTTAAGAGATTTTAAAGGTAAAAAATATTATTGAAAAAAATATCATAGTAATATTTATTTCATTTTAGTAAAATGCTACAGTTGTGCTTCTGAAAATATGCGAGAGGTAAGTTTTTTACTGTTGTAATACTCAACTGTGACTCTAGCCTTAGTGTAATCGTGGCCTTGGATCTAGCTTTAGCCTTAGCTCTAGCGCAAACCTTAGTCACAGACTTTATCAGCTAAAGTCTTAACTTTTAGAATTTCCTAAACAGAGCTCGAGGTCCAACTCCTCGAATTGCTGAGCCAAAAATCTACGATAATATGTGCGACTTGGACTTGTGGCTTTTGAGAGAAAAAGGAACAGTCGATTGTAAAGGGCCATGTGTCAAATGGCAACAAGTCTTGAACAATTCTGGTAACACCCTACCGTACCCAACCCTACCCAACCCTACCCTACCCTACCCTACCCTACCCTACCCTACCCTACCCTACCCTACCCTACCCTACCCTACCCTACCCTACCCTACCCTACCCTATCCTACCCTACCCTACCCTATTGCCTTTTTTAACGTTATTTAATTTACCCTAGCGTACTGTAAGCATACTGTATTCAAAATCGACTTTACAATTAAAAACCTGTCATTTTAGGAGTACTATCATACGCCACGATCCGGGGCTGCTTCTATGATATGTTTAAGCCAGAAAACTTTGAAATGAGAGAAGGTCAGATGTCACATTGTAGGTATTCCACCAAAAACCTGGAGTGCCTCGATTACACTCAAGTAAAGGAAGATTACTGCGAATGTCTTGGGGATTACTGTAACTCCTCCCCAATGGTTACTGTATCATATATTTTTGGGATCTTTAGCTTACTGTATTGTTTACTATAGTATTTAAGTCGTATTTGTATAATAAATTTTATTTTTAATTTTGTAAAGAAAGTTCTTGCGGTTTAAAAATTTTTTTCGAAATTTCAAAAAATAAAAAAAATTTTTTTTTATTTTAAATTTTCAAAAAATTTTTAAAATTTCAAAGTTTTTTTCATTTTATTTATCACTTTTACCGGTCGGCAGTCGACCCCTTTCCTAAATGCCATTTTACAACGATTACTCGAGTGGAAGTCATCGAAATGGTACCAAACGTGTACCACGCTTGAAGATGGCATATTCAAGTTCTGGACCCAACTCATCATCGGACACAGTGCACAGTGTTCGAAAAGCGATGAGAAACAGTGAAAAGAATGACAAAAGTAAAGAGAGGTTCAGCGAATTGAATGTAGAGATAAGTGATAGTGCGTACATTAGAGAGACGCAGAGAAACAAAGCCGGGAAAGTAAGGTTTTTACATTTTTAAGTTAGCCCTAGCTCAGAGCCCTAGCCCTAGCCCAGAGCCCTAGCCCAGAGCCCTAGCCCAGAGCCCTAGCCCAGAGCCCTAGCCCAGAGCTCTAGCCCAGAGCCCTAGCCCAGAGTCCTAGCCCAGAGCCCTAACCCCTAAGAGTTAGTCAAACCTCCACTCTAAGCCCAAGCCTTTGTCCTAGCCCTAACCCTAGCCTTTAGCCTGAGCCTCAATCGTGATCTTAGCTCTAGCCTAAGCCCTGTTCTAAGCTGTAGTCTAACCCCTGTCTTTGTCCTAGCCTTAACCTAAGCCTCAATCGTGGATAGCTCTATCTTTTATGGCTTAAAAGCCCTAGTCTAAGCCTTAGACTAAGCCGTGGCCTACGCTTAAGCACTTGTCTTAGTCTTATCCTTGGCATAAGTTCTAAACTAAGCTCTAAACTAGGCCCTAACTTCAGGTCTAGCATTTTTAAGCTCAAAAAGCTTTAAAACTTTTGTATTGAATTACTCTGAATCATTATACATCTATAACTTCTATTTTAGTCATCCAAAAAGCCATCAAAAGTTGTGTCCAAGAAGTCAAGTCATGCACTACTAAGTGAACTTGCTAACGCTGAGGAAGAAGAAGCTTCTGAAACGTTTACTAGTATAAAAACACAAGTCAACGGCCACGTGCATCAGAAGATGCATTACCAAAGAAGTAGTCCGATGTGTAAAACTGTCAAAGCCAAATTTAAAGTGGCCTCTAAGTCGTAGGTTTTTTAAGTTTTGCAAAGAAAGTTCTTGCCATTCTGTTAAAAATTAATAAATTTATTAACATTCGGTATTTGACAGGCTGCGGATGACAAGTCATACGCTAGAGCAAATTTACTGCTTTGTAAACAAAGTTCCTTCTATTTTTAAGTTTGTAAAGAAAGTCTTTGCCGTTTTATGTTATGGAAAAAAAGTTTCTGTCAATTTTCTTTTTGTAAAGAAAGTTCTTGCCATTTTGTCAAAAAAACTATACAAATTTGGCATTCAGCGGGTGACAAGTTATACGACGAAGGCCGTTTTTACTTCTGTAAAGAAAGTTTTGCGATTTTATTTGGAAAAAAAGTTTTTGCCATTTGTTTTATAGTTCAAAGATTTTTTCAGAAGTTCAGACGACGAAGGATTTTCGATCAGCGCGAAGGATTCAACTTCAAGTTTTAGCACCAGAGAACCAGAAACGCTTTCTGGAAGTAGTTCTACCACACAGTAAGTTTAACCATTTAACTGCGTGCCACCATAAAATCTAAAAAATTATATTTTTTATTTTTCACAAGCCCAAAAATTGAAAAACACCACTTATTTCCGTATTTTAGGCCCAAATACCAAGTGGTAACCAAGCCGAGTCGGCATTACTTTGGCCAACCTGGAGATACCACCTCGATTACTGACACTGCAGCGACTCCAATAAACCAACAACAACCCTTGGCGTCCCAAGCCAACTCAAATGGTGCACTTTTCTGTTTCTGCGACAACTTCCGAGTGAAACTCGGCGTCAAGAAGCATGCTAAGTTCACGGTGGTTGTGGACGTGAACGTTTCGAACGATTCCATCTATAAACCCTTCATTCCGATTCCGGAAAACCGTGACGGTTGAGATTTTACCATAAATAAACTAGATTTTGTTTGATTTTCAATATTTTTGGCATTTGAATGGGATCTGTGATGTTCTTGATAAGGTTTTAGCTTGCTACTGCCTTACATTTAATGTTTAGATAATGAATTGATAATATTATAATCTTTTTATGTCAGAATAGCATAATAACAGTTTAATACTGTGTTTCAAACTCATTATCTTGTGCCTTATTCATTTTATTCACCTGTTCTCGAGCTTCTTTAAAAACTCGATAAAACTAGTGACACTTGGTCGCAAAAACGATACGTTAGTGGCGTTTCGTGTTAAAAAGGGTTTTTTGTTATTTTGGAGCTCCGTTTGGATTGTTTTCCTCATTGGCAGTTGTTTTTCTTGAAAACAAGCGAAACAACAGCTAAATTTATATTCAACATGGATATGGATGATGAAGATTATGGATTGGTAAGTTATTTATGTTTATTTTGCTTTTTAGACACTGAAATCGGTATCTAAAGATGGAGAATATTCTGCAGAAGCTTTCTAACTGTATTACCGTCAGGTTCACGATGCTTTAGTTTTCCTTTTCTAAGGTTTTAACTAGAATTTTGAGAGGTTTTTTGAAGATTTTAGAGTTTAATCATGGTCAACTTCTAAGACTCAAAACCCTCGTATTTTAGGAATATTCGGATGATTCTGGCTCCGAGCCAGATGTAGCATTGGAGAATCAGTATTATGCGGCCAAGAGCTTAAAGTCGGATGGAGATTATGAGACAGCTTTGGACACTTTTCGAGAAGTTGTTCAACTGGAGAATGATAAGGGAGAGAAAGGAGATTGGGGGTTTAAGGCCTTGAAACAGATGATCAAGCTTACTTTTAAGATGGTTTGTTGTTCTTTGATGTTTCGTTATTGTATTTAGGTTGAAATTACGAATATTGATTTGGTTTTTTTTGTGAAATGGAATAAAAGTAATCTACGCTCATATAGAGGCAGCTATAGTAATTTAAAACGCTAGTAAAACCTTGTTTTAAGGCTTTTTTGACTTTATAAAACAATATATTTTAGGAAAGATACGATGCAATGCTGAAGCACTATGCAAAACTACTAACTTATATTAAATCGGCTGTCACGAAGAATTACGCAGAGAAGAGTATAAACGGCATCTTGGACTATGTTTCCACTTCAAAGAAGGCTGATCTTCTACAAAACTTTTACCAGATTACATTGGATGCTCTTAAGGTATGTATTTTAATTTTATTTCTTTGCCTTTAGGTAATAATTTTTGTGGTATGAAGAAAAAATTTGCTTTGATCTAAAACATGTTATGTTCAAGGTGAAAATTTTGAAATATTAGTTAAAAATCTGATGTAAACTTAATAAAATTCACGTTTCAGGACGCGAAGAACGACCGGCTGTGGTTTAAAACTAAAATTAAGCTTGGCAAGTTGTATTTTGACCAGAAGGATTACGAAAAACTGGAGAGTGTTCTAAAACAACTTCGCCAATCTTGTAAGACCGAAGATGGAGAAGAGGATCAGAAGAAGGGAACTCAACTTTTGGAGATTTATGCATTGGAAATTCAAATGTACACAGAACAGAAGAACAACAAAGCTCTGAACCATCTCTACGAACAAGCTGTTCATGTGAAGTCGGCTATTCCTCATCCTTTGATCATGGGTAAGATTTTTGTCGTATAGATTTTTAGAGCAAGACATTAGGGTGAAAATTCGTGTTGAGTTAAAACATAAGTTAGGTAATGACATTCTAAAATTCTTTGTGAAAATATTAATTGATTAAAAAGTTATGACTATTTGAAAATAAAATAGGATATGTTAATATAGGGTCAAGTTGAATTTGAGTGGTGTAGCACAAGTAGCGAAATTGACTTGCAATTTTAACTAGGTGTATGAAAGACAATTACCTTGGTTATATTTAAAAATGGTCGTATATTATCAACCGGTCGATAAGTTATAAATTTTTGAAACTGTGTTGTAGATATTTTTTGATGTCACATCTTGTAGACGTTATAACAGAAGTTAGGATAGAGGTATGGAAATATGATTTTAGGATTTTGGAGAGTATAAACATACCTTTTTTGTGTAAAAAATTTGACTTGAAATATCGACCGGTCAATAAGTTATGACACTTTTTTTTGAATATTTTATGAAAAAACGCTGAAAATGGAGACAATTTTAGTTTTAAATAAGTTTTATCATTGATAGAGACTTTAAAAAAAGAAAAATCTTGTTATCATGGTTTATATGATGGATTTTTTTATCGTTTTAGGCACGGTCCGCGAATGTGGAGGCAAGATGCACTTGCGGAACGGCGAGTACAGCAAAGCCAACACCGACTTTTTCGAAGCTTTCAAGAACTACGACGAATCGGGATCGCCACGACGAATCGTATGCTTAAAATACGTCGTACTGGCCAATATGTTGATGAAGTCCGATATCAATCCATTCGATTCGCAGGAAACGAAGTCCTTCAAAAATGAACCTGAAATTGTGGTAATGACACAATTGGTGTCAGCGTATCAAGACAACAACATTGAGCTGTTCGAAAAGATCATTGAGGACAATAGGGAGAGTGTCATGAGTGATCCGTTTATCAGAGAGCACATTGAGGAACTTCTGAGTAATGTGAGATCGCAGGTGAGTATCTTCTTGCTTGTCAAGCCATAATTTAGTCTAGGCTAGCCTTTTATGATCTATGATAATATTTGGCTTAGAAATGTTGGTTGTTACCTAAATTCAAAAAATATTTTACCAAATATATTATTTTAGGTCTTTTTGGCCCTTTAAAAACATTATTTTAGGTACTCTTGGCCCTCGTACGCCCCTACAAAACCGTCAAATTGTCGTATCTGTCACAACAACTTCGTGTCACCGAAACCGAAATCATTCGACTGTTGGTCGAATTAATCCAGGAGAAGAAGATCAACCGAAAACTCGACTATTTCCGAGGCGTGCTGTGCACCATCCCGGACGAATTCGACGGAATCTCGACGGCACGCTACGACGCTCTCTCCAGCATGCACAATCAACTCGAAACCCTGAGACGCAGCATTATCGACAAGGTACAATAAGTGGGTGTTCATCATGAAGGCATAGCTTTGGTAATATGACAATTATCACCATATTATTAAAAGGTAGATGTCATGCTTGGTCGATTCATTTTATTATTTTGGTGTGTAATGACATAAGTAACGGTGTTTCTTAGGTCGAACCAAAAGTATCGGGACACTTTTTAGTTGAAAAATAAATGGTGTCCCGCTACTTTTAGTTCATTGTTCACTGCTGTTACTTGTGACATTATGTTATAGTATACTATACGTTATACTACGATATTGTCTATTAACGTACCTTTTGTTATTTGTACCCCCTGGTTTACTTGTATTTATATATTAAACTTGTATTTTTGGCTCTGATTAAAGACTTTTGCACTTGAATGTCTTTGAATTGAATGGTTCTTAATTCTTTCAGTACTGTTTTAAATCACGGTCCAACTATCTTAATTGTATTTATTACAAATTAAGTGAAAGAAATTGGTAATACCCTTTACTTAAGAGAGAGAGACAGAGTAACAACATAATATATTATCAGTAGACTCATTTGAACGTTTCGTTGGCGGAGGTATCCTACGACACATAGTAATAATAATATTTAGACTTATATTTATTTCAATAACAGACTTATAAATTAGGCTCAAAGATGTATTTAGGCTTATAAATAAGACAAAAATAAACGTAGGCTTAAAGATAAGCCTTAGGTATAAATATAGGCTTATATATAACCCTTAAACAGATACAGGCTTGAAAATAAGCCTAAAGAGCATATTCAGACTTATAAGCTTTGCAATTCATGTACTTATACTCTTACTACAAATAACAAATACATAAGCCTATGATACGTGACAAAGAAGATAAAATTTCTTTACATTGCAATATGTTTTCACAATCTAAATTTGGAAATATAAAATAAAGATTAAAGTTGGAATGCCTGAGGCAAAAGATAATATAGAGAAGTTGAGGAAGTTATTCGAAACTGATAATGTAAACTTTATCACAGGTGTCTGATTTCTATTAAATCAATTTCTATTTCGTTTTTGAAAGTTTTTTCGTTTAAAATATTGAAAAATCAAAATTTTAAGTATTAAAACTAGTAAAATCGAGCTTTAAAAACCAAACATAGCTTTTTAGGCTTAAAAATATAATTTAAACCTAAAATAATCAAAAACTTCAATTTTAAAACAATTCAAAATTTCGAATTTAAAGACTTCAGTGTTGTATTTCAAAGACTTTCAGTGATTCGAATCAGACCGTGGACTCGTTGTTCGGCCCATCAGCTGCTTCGTTCGATGGTTGTGGCGCGACTTTGGCCACGATTAGGGCGGGGTGTTTTTTGATAAAATCGTTGGCGGGTTCGTCGTACTCCAGATCGTGGAATTCGAGATCGTCCTCTATGTTCGTTGTCGTGTTCAGGGCATCGCTTTCTGAAATTTGCATATTAAAAAAAAATTTCAGAAAGCAAAATTTTTCGATGGAACAGGGTTGAGTTTGTAGAATAAGGTGGAGTAGGGTAATCGAAGTAAAATTAGAAAAAATAGGGGTAAGAGTAAGTCTAGAGCGAAAAGTAAGATAAGGAAGATAGAAAAGTAAAATTTAAAAAACAAGACCCCTACCTTCTCCATCCTCCACCACATCAATGTCCTGATACTCTTCGGCGATCGTCGTCGATAAGGTCTTGTCATCAGTGGGGTCTGAGACGCCATCCCTTCTCAACCGCGGTTGTCTGATCCATGAGAATTGGTTATTCGATACTGAGGTTGAGGCTGCTGCGTTGAGTTCATTGCTTAAGGCTTCGCTTTTTCGCTGAATTTCAGCGTATTTCCTGAAATTTTTAAAATTTAGAAAGTCATATAACCCGTATTTTACAATCAATTAAATTTTTTTTGAAAATTTTTAAAAATTCAAATTTTTTTAAATTTAAAAAAAAGTTCATCAAAATCCCAAAATATTTCAAAACCTCACGATGGTAGGTCCATGATCTGCTGCTTCACTTCGGGATGTTCGTTGGTGACAAACGTTTTAGGACAATGTTCCAGCTTCTCCACCCGAACTCGTCGATCCTTTTCCTCGGCCGCTGCCAACAGGAACTCTCGTTGGCCGAGGTCGATTTCGTGTTTGGTCGTGTCGAAGGTGCCCAACACGACTCGAGCTTGAGTCCGAATCTCTAGGTCCGGGTCACGAGCTGCCATTTCGTGAAGTCGGTCGCTGATTTGAGAGAATGACACGCCTTGGTCGACAGCGTCAATTTGTTGTCGGCCAAAGCTTTGGAGTATGGTGCAATAGTACTGGCGGACGTTGTGGATTTCTGAAATTCAATTTTTAATGATTTTGATTATTTTTAGGTTTAAAAAATAAAAAAAAACACTGAAGAAAACAATTTTTTTTCAAAATTGAATACTCTACATATTATAAAAGGTAAAAACTCACTGTCCATGGAAAGCTCGTCCATATTTTGTCTGAAAATTTGGAAAAAGACAGTTGGATCGACCAATCGTTCTCTGGCCAAAGTATCCATCATTTGAGCAAAACTGAAAATAAAAAAAAAGAATATAAAACCCCATAATAAGAAAAACTACCTGCTAACATTCCAATCTACATAATAATCCACCCCCAAAATGAAAAAATAAGAAAAAACTAAAAAATAAAAAACAACCCCAAGCTTAAAAAAATTCAAAAGCCACCCCTAACGCAAAAAAAAACCACCCCTAAGACAAAACAATGAAAAAAGCACCCCTAAACATTAAAAAATATCCCCTCCCAAAAAAATTAAAAGTAAAGAAAAAAGCCCATGCTGAAATAAACATCCAGCCCCCCCCAAACCACACCCTAAAAACTAAAAACCACCCTTAAAATAAAAAAATTAAAAAATCCACCCCTACACTTAAAAACTATTTTTTTTACATTTCAAAACTAAAATTTAAAAAAAACCCTTACCACTGCCGTTTCCTCCAAATCATGGTGTTCCAGAAGCCCTTGCGCAGCTCTCCCATGAACTCTCGACTCATTTTCCTGGCATCAGGTGAATCAATAGGTAATCCACTCCTCTGACACGCGTCTTGTTCATGGTTTATTAAGACGGCCAACGCTTGCGCCAGCATTTTCACACCGCCCTTTCGGACCTCCGCTATTCGGTCGTTGGCAAAGGCTAGGGCGAATGGGATTAGGTGTAGGTTGACGTGGTAGGGTTTGAAGAGCTGGACCATCAAGGAGAGTTGTCTAGAATAAGGTGAAATTAAGCGTGATTTGACAAGCAATGTTTTCATAACACCTTTACCCAAAAATTTTAAATTCAAAAACACATTTTAAAAAATTTTTTGGACTCTACCCCAAAAAAACACCCCGCCCAACAAATAAAACCAATTCAAAGTGATTTTAATGCCCGAACAGACAAAAAATGTGCTACCCATCCTACCCTATAATTTCTCAACACCCTTAGTAAAAAAACCACCATACCCAACCCCCCTGTCCCCGTCAACTAGTAGTATCACACCATCCCACTCTCACTCAAACCTACTGAATAAACTGATGTCGCAACCTCCACTCGCATCGGCCGTTCATCGTGTTGAATCGATTCAATTCCGCTGCCAATTTCAACCTCACCTCCTCTGAGCACGCCTTGAAGAACTCGTATAGGTTGGCAATCAGGCCTTTTTGAACGTCCGGGGTGTCTAGACCAAACTTTTGGAAGATCGGTACCAAGTCCTGGTCGGTTCGCTTTTGGCCGATACATTTGGCGATTTCGTGGATCGACTGGGCGAGGTAAGCGCGGATGGTGGGCTAAAAATGAACTGCATAAGACCTAGAAAAATCACTACTGTTAAGCCAGAATAGACCTATAAAAAGAGCAACCCTTGGTTTAAACCCCGGCCGACATGTGAGGGCCTAGTCACTTTGGAATTTGCTTTGGCTCAGCCCAACCAGAGCCCAGGCCACGCCTAGTAGACCCATTTCCAGCTCTAAATCAGAAAAGCAAGCCCAAGTTCACGCCTTTGTTAGCCTAAAACATCCCAAACTCACCGATGGATGCGAAGCCAGACTCATATACAGTGCTTTGACAAAGATCCACTTCTGCGGTCCAAAAGTGTATGCAATGGCGGGGAAACACTTGGCGAGAATGATCTGGTGCTCGTCCGAGTCCTCCATCTCGTCTTCTTGTTGTAGTTGACTTAAGGCGTTGAACAATCGAGGTGGAATGACATCTTGCTCCGTGTTCATCAGAAGCTGATACTCATCGTTGCTCAGATACCGTTTCGCATTCTCCAGATGTCGTCGTTGGAGTTGATGAATCCGGCTTTGAAGTTCTTCAGCTTCGATTTCGGCCTTCTGTTCCCAGATGGCTTCTGGTTTGGGTTCGTCGCGCTTCTCCGCCGTTCCCTGAATCTTCTGCTTCACTTTCTCCGTGAACTGTCGGAACGGTGCTACCGTCGCGACATTGTCGTTCTTTAGTTGTTTTTCCGTCTTCTTTGTCATATTCGTCATGTTTTGAGTCATTGGTCGTATTTTGGCGATTAATGCTGAAGTTGCCGAGGTTGCGTTGTTGTTTCCCGTGTTTGTAGCTGCACTTAGGGCAGTTTGGTGTAGTAGCATGGATTGGGCTGCGGTTTTCTTCATGAAATCGATTGGTTTTCGAGCGAAATCAAATCGACGCTTCCAGAATCCCTCCGTGGTTTGCTTCGACGGGTCTTGGGACGAGTCTTCTGCGTTCTGGAAATAAAAAAAAAATGTTTTAAAATTTAAATTCTTCTGTATAACTATGCTATATTTATGATATGTTACACGTTAATGTCGTATTTTACTATCATTTCAAAACATATCGTCATCAAACTTCAGATTCAAAACTTAACGATATTAGCCCTTGTCAATATCATACCCAGGCCCAGATTGCCGTAATTTGCCACGCCCTGCACAAAAATTACTATTTATATACAATTTCAATTTTAGTTTATCCTCAAAATTTAAAAAAAACCAAATTTTAAGCCAAAAACCTACGCTTTTCATCAACGTCAAATTAACAACCGTATTTTACCACACCCTATCGAAAAAACCTTTTTTCAAAGCCCAGCCTTTTCAAATCCCCAAATTGATCAGAAAAAAAAACAATTCATGTCGAAAAAGGTCGGCCGTTTCCCACAGTCTGGGGCCGCTTAATTCGAGACAACAAAATATGGAAAGTTGGGGGATGAGGTTATTTCGAATTCATGAGAAAAACTTCAACCTTTCTTGATTTGTCTATTCACGTTTTCACACCATCCTTGAAGTTTGAATACTTAATATGCTTCGGGAATTAATCAGTTTGCTTTGTTTTGTTTTTGCCACTTTAAAATGAACTTTTTTTCTATTTTAAAAGGACATTTTGGTATGACATTTAGGGTAGAAAAATAAAAAATATGCTAAACCTTAAGTTTTTTCAAAACAAAACTGTAACTAACATCCAGAGAGTTCGCAAGGAAGGAGGCGTGAACAAGGGCCATATCCACCCCTTATTCAGACTTTGTTTGTTTTCTATACCCTCCGTTCAGAAAAAAAACTGTAGCAACAGCTCCGGCGGTAACTTTCGTATTTTACCTTATACTTTCAACATAGTAGTCTACTCTATCTAAAGGTTATTTTCCTACTGTACTCCAAATTATTATTCTTCTATACCCTACCCTACCGTACCCCTATTTCTTTCTCCTCTACCACACCCCACGTCATGCCAAAAGAGGAAATAAAGACAGAGTGACATTTCGTGTAAAAAACGATGTGAAGTGTGAAATTCTATTTTTTGTAAAAAATTGTTTGAAATTAAGCGGTCGGAATTTTGAAAATGAAATTCATTTGTGGTAAACTTGTAGTGTCATATCTGGACGATTCTTTGACGGATCAAGACCAGTTTGGCCTTCAAAGAACCGCCGAAACATAGCGAATTTTTTAATATTTGTTACAGCTCAAGATTTGAGTTATTTTAACTATTATTTGATAATTTCACACGTTTCGTTCAACATTTTAAATATTTATTTTATTTTTTGAATCAATATTTGAGACTTTTGAGTTAACGAAATGCCACGGCCACCTTAGTTCCATTTTTCTTTTATTTTGGCATGATGTGCACCCCACTTCCTCATTACACCCTACCGTATCCCACATTTTCCCCACGAAAAACATAAGAATTCGTAAAACAGGCCAGAACACCAGTTTCTGGAGGAGTTTTGAACAGTGGGGATTTTTAAAGAATCCAGAAAATGTCATAATCCGTCAGTTTTTTGGGCTGGGAAATGACTGACGTCCGGCCGACTTTCCCCGCTCTTGTAAATAAACTTTGCACCAGAGTTTTTGGTGTTTTGAATCATTTCCTCAATTCGTAAAAACCATTTGGCCTCTGTTTTTGGGCTGAACTTCAACTGTCCATAGTTTTAAATGTTACTTTGGGCTTTAAAATTACTTTTTTTACATTTAAAACGTACTAAACTGTATTATAGTACTGGATAGGCTTGAGGCATGGTAAGACAAAATATATTTTTCCATAGTATATTAACTTAGGTTGAGTATTCCTGATTTTTGGATTTATTTTTAGTTTGTTTAAACCTAAGCTGCCATTTCTAATCAACTAATTTTTTAAATAATTTTTCAAATTAAAGTTTTAAAACAAAAAATTCATTAATGACGTATTTTACCCACCTCCAGGTCGCTTCCCTGCCTCGCAACGTCGGCCCATGATCGTTTGCCTGGGCTGGACTCTCTGTCTGCGTTTTCTTGACCGGTCGATTCGGATATGGGCGGGAATGCGGTATCGTATTGACTGTCTTCGTTGTCTTCTGGCACTGGCTGAAATATATGTACTTTTTAAAATTTAAAACCTGTTTCAAATCATAAAAGAAAACTCTTCTTTCATAAAAGTTTGATTTTTTATCCCGCCCAAAAAAAAAACACCCCGTACCCTCATGTTTTAAACTTAAAACCCCAAAAAATCAAACGAAAACCACCCCTCCCTAACGCCACAAAATACCCCACCCTAACCCTACAAACCTCCCTCTTTAACACTCCCAAACACCCCAATCCACCCCTTCCCACCACCAAAAATCTCCCCTCCTACCTGTAAAACATTGCCATTCAACTCGTCTTCGCTTTGTTCCGCGTTCGCTTTATTCAGGCTCTCGCTTCGTTCAATGTACTTCTGAACATCGTCAAAGTCCAATTCAGTATCAAACGACCAGTAGTTGATTCGAAGGGGTTCCTCTTCGCCTCGTGGCGTCCCGTTTTGCATCGTATTCGAGTTGGCCGTGTCCGATGGGTTATTAGTCCGCTCTTCCGGCGGTGTTATTTCGTCCAGGTTCAAGCGGGGCACGGTTGATGGCGATTCCTTGCTGAAAAAGGTACTATTGTACTGACCATAACAAAATTTTAAAAAATTTTTATAAAAACTTCACCACCCCATCAGCTACTCACGTCCAAAACCCCTCTACCAATCCACCCCCCCCTACCATTAAAAATCAAAAAAAAAGTTTCGGTCAAAAAGTTAGTCCGAAAGCAGTAGAATTGGGCACTGTTTCAACGTGCCAAAAGCCCTCCTCAAAGGCGCCGTTCATCCGACACTCTTCTCGAGACTCTCGGCATTAACTTTCAATCAAATTGAACAGAAAAAAGCCAGATGGACGGCTTGATGGATATCTTCGGACGCAAAAAATGACTAGAGATATGTGATTGTTGTGCATTATTATTATCAAGAGAAAGAGAGAGGTAAATGAAATCGCGTCATGTGCAATATTATTTATCTTTGTTACAGTATTTACAAAAAAAAATTTTTTTTGCTAATCAACCATTACTACACCGTATTTTACAAAAATTTCTCTCAAGCCTTCTTTTTGAAACATAACGTACAGTAATCAGCAATAGATGCATGTCTTACAAAACCAAAACGTTCAATAGCTACAGTAATCGTTTTCTATGACCTGTTTTTAAAATACAGTAACCTAACATTCTTAAGTGTTTTACTTTTACCTTTTTACCATTCAAATAACAGTAATCCTCTCCTTCAACATTACAAATTTAAAAAAAAACTACAGTAACCTAAAATTATTTTCCTGAGCCTTCTGCTTCAACTTTTTACCATTCAATTTACAGTATCCCACCCCTCCATCACTATAAAATTTCAAAAAAAAACTACAGTAACCTAACATTCTTAAAATACTTTCTTTTCACCTTTTAACTACAGTATCTCCCCTCTCCAACCCTATAAACCTTCAAAAAACTACAGTAACCCACCCCTCCTCCTGCGCCTTCCTCTTCAGATCCTTTTCCATTTCCCCGTCCAAATCGATGGAATCCAGGTCTTCGCTCATGATGTCATCCAGGTTGAAGTCGGGATCATTCAACGACACCAAGTGTTTGTTGGGTTCGTATGGCCACTTCCTTAGGGCGAACAATTGATCGTCCTTCTCTTCGTCTTCTTGTTTTTGATCTGATTCCTCGAACAAGTTTCTCGGTTTGATATTCTTGTAGCTTGACACCTCACGAAAGTTGGGTGATGCTGTTAGAACACTGTTATCTGAATCGAGAGATGATATTGAGGATGTTGAGTAGGTTCGTACTCTTGTTTCGGATTTTGGCGTGTCTGGTAAGTGAAATCCTGAAAATGTTGAAATTTTAAAAACTTTGTGTTTAATAAAGAATAAAGTGTAACTCCCGTCCGAACTTTTCTATAAATTTTTCAAATTTTTTTTAAAAAAAAATTTTTTTTGTTCCCCCCCCTCCTTATGAAGAATTACAAGACAAGTTACATATCCCCGTATTTTACAACACTTTTTTTTTCCTTTTCAATCTCAAAGTTTTTTTTAAAAAAATGCAAATCCCTACCATCAGGAACATTATACAGTCTTCCCAGCTCGTCTTCTTCGCCTTCTTCTGTTTCGTATACTTCATTTTCGGTTGTTTCTTCTGTTTTTCGAGATTCTTTGGATCCTATTGATGATGTTGATTCATTATGGCTATCTGATTCGTCCGGTAAATTGCTAAAAAATTGAGTTATTGTAAACTAGACTGTTGTAAATGTATTATATATAGTATTTTACATTAAATTTTCTATTTTATGACACTTTTCAGGTATAATCTTGTTTCAAATTTCAATTTCTTTTAACTTATCGTAATTAAACTTTAAAATTCAAACAAGGACGTTGCTACAGACTTTTTCTAGAAGAAGAAGAGAAAAAAAATAAAAACCAAAAAAAAAATTTTAGATTCATAGGAAGCTAGCATTAGCTTAGCTATCTGTGCACCCATAAAGCGTAAGAGAAAAGGAAAATCAACATCCATGCAAACCCCCCCCTAACGACGTCACTGCATCCAAAGTTAAAATTAAAAAATTTAGAGTAAATCAACCCGTATTTTACCTAAAAAAGTTTGAAAAGTCTTTTAAAAAACTAATTTCAATTAAAAAAAATTGTAAAGCTTTTCATTCTTACCAAAGGACAAACCCAAGCCATGCCAAAGTCGCCAGTAAGGCATATTCGATACTCAATTCGAAAAATTGTAGCATTTTATAAAGTTTGAGTACAAAAGACAGAATTTTATTTTGATCAAATTTTAAAATTTTTCAAAATTGAAAATTTTAATTCAAAAAATTAAAAATTTAGTAAAAAATTTTCGTCCAAAATCCAAAATTCTAAGCCAATATTAGAATAAATTTTAAGATTTTTACTCTATATCGCAATATTTCAATAGCTGAGGTAAAACTCCTAATCCAACAATAGTCAATCTTAGTTCAATATTTTGATTTAAAAATCAATTTCAGTTGAATTTAGTCGAAAAACGTCGACCTTTTCAGTCGATTTCATTTGTTTTTGGCTCCGATTTACATTCGGTTCGGAAGGCAATGTAAATCGAATTAAAACAACTTTCGACTACACTTTTCAAACGTCATTTTTGTCATTTCTTGATCATTAATTTGTTGTTTCTTTTCCGTTTTATCAACATTTCCCGCTATTTTAAAAAATTTAAAATCCTATAAGAATAAGTCGTTTCAACGGTCGTATTTTACTCATTTTAAATCGAATTTAAATAGTGCTTTTCAAAAACTAAAATCATTTTTATAAAAATCAAAACTTGACGACCTCTTACCTAGTATTTAGTTCTTTCCGTGGAGTCAAATTTGACAATTGACCATCTCTTATCAGCAACCCAGTCCTTCGCGGCTCAGCAAATGTCGCGATAATCGGTCCTATTTGTGATGAAGATGACATTCGTATCTAAAACACGTTCGTATAGAACTACCTCATCTATCGTTAGTTATGCTCATATAGAACTTTCATATGATCTGCATTACCAATCGTTAATCATACTCATCGTTATAACAAAAGTTTCTTCAATCCCTATCATAGTTAAATGGCATTGCTCAACTATGACCATTACAGTGTGATGCGACTTTTCTCTTTATACCATACCCTGATTAATCATACAAAAAATACAGCATAGTACTAGTGGCACCTATAAATATAGTATCCTTGCAACTAATACCGAGTTCTCGTATTTTACTGAATTAAATGTTACTAAACTAGGATAAATTCAGTAAAACACCCCTTTTAGATCAATTTTTACCCAATTGAACTATACTAATAATCATAGTAATACAGTAATACCTTTTTTCTTTGTACTGTATCCCTCTTTGACCATACGTAAAGCAAAAGTTGTGCTATTATGCCCCATTTTACTAGTAAATATATTTATCTTTGATCATATTAATAGCCATACTGATACAGTACCCCCTTTTTGCATAATACCGCAATCCTCCCTAACCATAAGATACAATATTATATTATAACCATACCAAAAAAACCAGTAATGCATTATTTAACCTACAAATTTTTGTTTATCCTCCAACAACCTCATAAAATACGGCGCCAACACATTTCTTCTCAAATCCATCGAGCAGTTCGAGGCAATGTCAGCAAAGACATCAGCACACGACATTCGTACTCTCGAATTGATGTCATCAATGGCTCGGATCAAGTGTGGTACCAGACATTGTTCCGTGAACTGTTGGCCGAATCTTTTAGATAGTGAGCCCATCGTTGCTAGTGCTAGTTTGCGTATTACTGCACTGTCATCGGTGAAGAAAACCGAGAATTGGGCTAGAAAGTGGTGGTAGGCCCAGTCGCGGGGGTATGTATCGATCTGATTGGCTACGTAACATAGTACCTAAAATACGGTTTTTTATTGATTTGCTTCATTTTATGATTTTAAAATTTCTTTTTTTTTCATTTTAAAATTAAAATTTTAATTTTTTTCAAAATTTTTAAATTTTTTTACCAAAAATAAAATTTTCCTAAGCTTTTTTACCATAGTAACTTCACCATACAACATTAATTTATTTCGTAGTATCTTTACATCTCATTGCTTTTTTTCAAATAAAAGTACAATTTTCGATACACAACTTAACAGTACATCAAAGCTGGCTGTGATATGGACCTATTTCTGTTCGCAGCGGCAAATCACTTCCACTTTGACAGACCGTTAAGTTATGTCGTGTTTAGTTCGTAGTAACAGTGTCAAATAGCATTAGTTTAGGTTTTAATATATAGAGCTCATCGTAGTTTAGATTTTAGGTAATAAGTACACAATATATATTTTACAAATGTCATGTTTTAGCGACTTAACCACTTCAATCCCTGTACGTCTATGCAATGACTCAATAACTATATCTTTCTAACACTATTTGTACCATCTCCACCAAACAGCTACAACCCTACTTTACCATCTCACCTTACAATACCTAGAACAACCTTTGCAAAAACCTGAAAGCCAGCGCCGAGCGTGTCGCAAACTCAGACTGAAGACCTCAAAATTTCGTCGATTCTAATCAAAGATCATAAAGAAAGACGGTAAGACGCATATGCTAAAGTGTTCACACATTAAATGCGTCCAAAATCATACCGAAAACAATCTTTCCTAATTTTTCGTGACTAGCCATTTCGCTAACTGATTTTTAAGAGAATACTTGTTTTAAAATAAGAAAAAAATCATAGTAAAGAAGCAGAATAATCTACAAGATATCATAAATTCATAACTGTCAATGAGTCCACCAAAAAAAGCTTTTAAAAATCACCATACTCCTCAAGTCTCAAACCTCTCAATATCAACAAAATTAGAAAAAAACACCACATCTTATGTCAAAACATGTCTTCATGTCACGGTCAAATGTGCCATCATAAAATACAACAGCTCAACCAGATTTAAGAAGCTTATCATGTTTTAGGCTAATGTCATTATACTAAAGAGTCGTATTTCCACCCACAAATCTGCTTACAATTTCGGCCGTGCTGGTTTCAACATGCTACCAAAGAGATCATTTTTAATTTCAACACAATTTACATGACTATTTGAAGAATACAAGTTACTTTGACTATAATATTGAAAACTATAAGCTCTTGCAATACCCAAGATAAAGATATGCCTTCTACCAATTGATTAATATAATATACATAGATAAGCAACCAAACATACTGATCAAACCAAAAGACTGCCTAACAAAACTCTACTCATTCTTTACTCTCCTCTCCAGCTAAACATTCCTAGCCAAACTTATTTACCAGTTTATACACTAGTAAAGAGAGTATTTACCAGTATTTCCTATCCAATTTAATGCCGTTTCCAACAAAATATAGCCCTAATTTAAAGTCAGAATCCGCTAATTTCGAGACTAAAACAAAGCCGATTAGAGTGCACTGAATGACTGATCAATTACGGCCCCGAATCTTTCAAAAATCCATTCAAATGTCTTCACGACAACTGTCAAAACCTGACGGCTGCTGCTCCTCGAAAAAACACGCACACACACATCGATTTGTGTATATTCGAGAGAGTAGATTAGACCATTTAGTTCAGTGAGTCCAGAGTGAATGGACTTTAAACTTTTTTCTACCTGGTCCAGTTCAAAAACGGTTTTCCTACCTAGCCCAGTTCGAAAACGCTTTTCCTACCAAGGCCAGTCAGAAATCTTCAAAAACGTTTTACAAAATTAAAATTCAAACAACCCAAATTAAATTATAGCTAAAACAATAACCATTTCATTTATTCCAAGCCTAGTCCCATTCTCTTTATATTCGGCCTAAAATCGAGGAACATTAAGACCGAAAGCCGGACAAAAGTGACAAATTCCCCTCTACTTTCATCAAACTGAGAGAGGGAGAAAGAGAGCCCTGGCCGAAACAGAGACGGCCCAAGTTTCATTAAATTCTCGCAAATCTTAATAGATTGCCGTGTTGTTTTAAGAGTATCGGTCCAAAGAATAAGAATGGGTAAATGAAACATTACTCAAACCGATTCTCGGACTTTTTGTGTAAAAACGTCACAATAAAAATTGCAAACAAGTGTTCGGCAGTAGCGTCCGTACAGATTTAGTCTAGAGAAAACAGTAAGATCGTTAATCTTATAATAACAATCTTTTTACAGAACACCAAACATAACATTGTCCAACAAGTCAGTACTGATGCCTGAACTTCGATGACAACATAACTTAAATTTGATTGACTACTAAACCAACCAACAACAATCTCCCCAATATGACCAACGATTATCAGTTTAAACTGTAGATACCAATTACAAGAAACAATTTTGCAACAATTAAAGATTAGCACAGCAATCAATACCCGAACCTTTGCAGATCAAATGCCTTTGGACAAAGTCATTAAACAAAGTTTAACTAAAGAAGCCCAAAACCATTAAGAAACTGACAAGATAAACGACTTGTACTCAAAAATGTTGAGAAGCCATTAATCCGTCAAAGTACAAAACAGTCGAAAAAATCTTATTCTACACTATATAATTGGCCAGACAATTTAATTTTGTGAACAAGACTAGGCTTTTTGCCTCCATAGTACCAGTTAAAAGCATTTTTTACCTTTATAGTACTATATTAAAGCAGCAAATTTTAATGATTCAAGAGTGACGACCAAATAGCTTCTACTTACCAAGCTTATCAAACCTTTGACTACGTCAAGACAAATGAAAACATAAACAAAACCAAAAAAGTCCAAGCTCTAATTAGACTACACAATAATGATCTCACGGCTCAACTCTACTTTTTTTAACCAAACCCTCTCATACAGCCTCATCCCGCACAGAATTTAATTGTCTGTCTGTGACAACGTTTCATTCCTCTTCCGGCCGCCAAAAAAACCTTTTTTGGGCCTCGACCAAACCGGCATGTTTCCGGAACAAAAACCCGGGCCCCATATCGTCCTAAATGAAACAGAGACCCAAAACAAAAGTGCCTTTCGGGCGGTGGAGCGCGAGCACCCGCTGCTGCAATAACCCCTCCGTCTCCCCCCCCCCCTTTCTTCTCCATCAGTTTTCGTGGAGGGGATGGACATTAAATTGGGCCCAAAGTGAGGCGCGTTGTAAAGGCATAAAACAAAGAGTTTCATTATTACATAAAATGACACTCTGTGTGTTGTTGGGTCGTAAGTGCGACCACACTTGGACCCGGCAGATGTCTATAATACAGGTCAAAGAACACTACAAGCGCGAACAGCTTTCTCTTCACTTAAAGTCGAGGAAGGAATCAAACTTGTAATATAAAATACCTATTTCAGATATAAAAATGCCTATTTATAATATAAAAAGCCCTATTTGAGATATCAAAACCCTATTTATAATGTAAAAAGCCCCGTTTATTAACGTAGCTATGCCTTATTTACGTAGCAAAGAACGGGCTATTACACAGCTATTCAGATGTAAAATTATTATATTGTTATTCAAATATAAAATTAGATAAGACTTTGAAAAAGAATTCTATTTTAACAAAAGTTCGAATCTTTCAAATTTCAAATTTAGTAATTGCTCAATTATTGAAATCAAACTTTGAATCTCCTGATGCCTAAAATAGCATAAAGTCCATTTGAAACTAGAGCACATACTCGACAAAACTCATAACAATATCCATAAAATATCAGACAATTCACAAAATAAAAATCCTAAAAAATCTTTCAAAATCAAGCTCAAAACCAAAAGTAATGCCCAAAAAGCCATAAGAGAAAAAAGAAGAGCTGATAAGCCACAACAAATCCAAGAGTAACAATTTTAAAATCCTCAAAATTCCAAAAGGATGACCACAAAGAATCAAGAACCAAATGAGAAGCGTATGGCCATTGCGTAATCCCAAAAATACTAAAACTGGACACGCCATTACATAGATTAATTTAAATTTCGACATAAGCAATGAGATTAAACGCTACAAATCGGCCATTGTTTCGAAAGCAGTCCTCATGGTATTGAGACTGGACTCGTACAATTTAAAGTTTCAAAGTATAAGTCCTACATATTCTTTTGAAAGATTATACTTCCTAGTATCACTGCTTTCACCTTCTAGAATCACTGCTTATACCTCCTGTAATCACACCTTATATCTTCCAGAATCAGCACTCTTCAAATCAATATTTCTCACAAATTTTAACCCCAAACATTCACTAGCATTTAATCACTTTTTCCCTCGAAAACTTCACACTTGGCTTCCACGACACATCCGGAAAGAGCGCAAACTTTGCCCAATACTATGTCCATCCTAACTCATTCCCCTCTCCAAAAACAAATCCCTAATTTCGACTTTGGCCAAATCCCCCCTCAAATTTCCTTCAGGGCGGAATAACCGCGCCAAAGTGTCTTTTTTTTGTATTAGAAAACATTGCATAATCCGCTGACGAAGAAAGTCGCTTTTCCCTACCCCCCCCCCAACTCTTTTCTTCGCTTCGCGGCCCAAGAGAGCGGCCCCCCCCCCACCCAAATGGAATAAAAATGTTTTTCGGAGAAACATAGAGCCAAACATTTTGACGAAACATCCCAAAAATGGGTATGGAGCGGCCGCAGGACACGAATTACGACACCGTGCATGGGGAATGTGCTACAATTTTTTATTAATATACTTTTTTACAATTGGTTACAGAAAAAAGTTGAAAAAACAGAAAAAAATGTTTATGAATAGCAAAACAACCACATCTCAAGTAAAACAAAGAAATGTAAAAATTTTTCAGTTTGAACCATCTCTCGTTAACAAAAAAAGAAGAAAATGTCAGGTCAATCCTTCATACGTCGTCATACACCCCATCCCACCTTCAAAAATATTGTAACAAACTTTCCAATCACTGGTATTCTTGTCAAACTTATTAATACATTTAATCGTGCGTGCTTAGCACATGGAGAGCATTTTTTAAGGTCTGATAATCCTTTCCTCCTAATCCAGCCGTCTTTAATTATCTTGTTGTAGAGTAAAGATTAGTTCTTTGTGCTGCAATTCAAGTATTCCAATTATGGCGCACTATGTTAATTATACCCTTCTTGTTTGTGCTATGGTGCTTTTATTTGGTTTCGCGTTTTGACACATGTTAAGCCTAGCTTTTGAAAATCATAAGCATGGCCAATTTTAAAATCTTCATTTTTACCATTTCTAATTATAACTGTTTATAATCTCATATTAAACCTAACTGTCCCAGTTTTGGGTTGATTGTCTCCTTAACTTCTATATCCTTACTTTACAAAAAAAAAACTTTCCAAATCAAAAAATTTAAAAAACTAAAATTCAAAATTGTTTTTGTTTATTAGCTGTAAATAGTCCGTTTCTGAATATCCACACTTCCAGACGTCCCTGACGTCAGCCGGCTTGCATGAATAACAACAACTTGGAGAAGAAAACGCAACAACAAAAGTCTTTGTTTCGTTTTTAAATTATTGAATTTTCAATATCTAAAATTAGATTTATGAATTCATAATCAAGTCAACGTTGAGATGGCTTTGATGCATCAACAACATGTCTTACAGCCATTCTTTTCTTGGCTATCTTAATATCTATCTTTATCCTTTATTTAGATATCGCCTTACCTATCTTCTTCTTTGGGTATTTGCGCTATTAACCAACTTCTTGTTTGGGTAGATGTGTTAACCTAGCTTTTGGCCAGTTGCATCGACATTCACTTACAAGAATTTGACGTATTTTACAATTTTTTGTGTCCTACACCAATGTCATTATTATTTTTCATCTTTTTTAAATTTTAATTCAATTTCATGTGTTTTCTGTTTTATTTTTTTCCAATTTTTTTCATGCATTTTGTTGCTTCATGCTTATTATTCCATTCTCTTATTGCTTTGTGCCAAAATATAGTGCTTGAGAGATAACGGCCCGGCTTCAATAGATAGACATAAAAATAAGAGTGCAAACGAATTGAGCCCATCTCATCGAAAAAGCACGCCCAGGAACGACGACATTGCTTGGAAATGAGAGACCGACTATTTACGAGTCAAATTTGAATAAAAATAGACATGGCACCGGAAACGGCGTTATATAATAACATATCAAAACCTTAATTAAATCCCTGAATAAGATTGTGTTAGGGCTGTAGGCGACATTTAAAATGGTTAAAATTAGACTTTTATAATGTCGACGCCATAAAAATAGGTCCTTCCTAACATAATAACTCATTTTAACTAACTGACATAGCAAGACTACGTTATGACACCATGTGTTAAAATTAGAAAACGATATTCTTACTTAAATACGTATATAACAAAAAAATCTAAGATTCTATGGCCTATTAAAAATTGAATATCAAGCAAAATGTCATACTGAGTAGGTTGCAAACTACAACACACATTGAATGCCAGACTCTTTGTAAAACGAAATTAAGTTCTAATTTAAACCGTAAAACCGGGAAACCAAAAATACATTAGAAACATTTTATTGCCTAAGTAAGTTTTAACAAGACGCCATAAAAAAGTAAGTTAATTTGACTAGCCCATTCTCAAACATATAATATAAAACAGACCTATTCCAACAGCAAATTAAACTTATTTTCACGTTACTAAAATATTTAAGTTTTTAAAGCCAGGACATCTTACAATCAAACAAATCTAAACACCTGAAGCTATTGAAATCAAGCCTAAAGACCTAAATATAAACCTCGATTAACCTACATTTAAAATATAAAAAATTAAAACATGTCCACATCAAAGTCTGTCATGTAGCCCGTAAAGACAACAAGCCAACCCCGACAACATTGCCAAAACAGGCGAAAAACAGAATAGTGACACGACCAAAAATGGAGCGGACAGTGCCGACGGAACGCCGAACCCGCACAGCGTCTCACTACCCATGTCTTTCACCTGTGCCGACAAGTCTTTTGCGGGTACCGCTACAAACTGAGATAAACATTCAGAGTTCGCAAAAGAGTGCCCAAATCTAAAAGATAGCTAAAACTTCAATAAAATACTGAGAAATACCTAGTGTTCAGAAATAACACAAAGACTACAATACGAGACAAAGATACTAGTTAGCTTTTATATGAAGAAAAATATCCAGCAAAAATAGTTGTTGTAAAAAAGTTATACTGAGTAGATCCTTTTTTACAAATATTTGAACATACCATACGTATCAGTATGCTAGAACAGAATAGTAAAGACATAACCTTAGCTAACTCTAGAAAGCAGTAACCTCTTACTACCATATTCCTCACAGGCAACCTAGCCACCATTCAATATGACGGTAGAAAACGAGAAATGCCAAAAAATGGCTGGATCCGATCAAAGTCGCCACCCTCTTGCCCTTGCTTGCCAACTCATTCGCTGCCGTTCCCGCGCTGCAAAAAACGAGTGCCCAACGCAAAAAACAGACATAGTTGAGAGGAGGAGAGAAGAATGGCCATTTCCCGATGCCCCAAACGCGATCCGCAATCTCTGCCGTTTTGACGCACTCTCACACTGCACAAGCGACCTGGGTCGTCGAGACCCTCGCCCACAACCGAACACCCGCCCGTCGCCGAAAACCTGTCTAAACAGTCGAGAAGAGCCAGATGAATGGGCTTTGGCTAGCGCGCAATGCCATGATTAAAAAAAACCGAAAAAATCACATTCAAAAGAAAAAAATTTAAAAAAAAGACGACGAATGGAACAACTGCAATGTGTTGGGGCCATAAATTCAAGAGAATGGATGATTGAAGGCAAGATCGTTCGTTTTTATAGCAATAAAAAAATCGAAAAGAAATATTTTATGCCAAAAAACATCTTTTAATGAAGAGATTTATGCGCTACTGCATATTGTGCAGACAAAACGTTATATCTAGACAAGAACTCAAATATTCAGACAACCCATGAAAAACCACTGACTACCTCTGGCTCTAATAAAAACCTATATGTACAACTGCCAGCGCCTTCATCAAATCTAATACATTAACTCCGCCTTGACACTCCTACAAATATGATGTTTCGAAACAATAACGCAACTGAAACCAGTGCCGTTACCAACTGTCAAAGTTACGCCATCGCTCGCTCTTACTGCGCAAATATTCAGATTCCGACAGTCTAAAAGCTCCGACTGATCTTTGAACCCTGGGTCAAGGAGCATTAACTTGCGCTGCAGGTGCTTCTTATATGCACTCCTTTCGCCATACATCTTCCTATGTAACACTACAAATGACACATACCAAAGTTTTCTAAAGAAATATGAAGCCATTACGGATCTTTCCCAATCTTCAAAACCGTTAAAGTACAAGTGAAAGTAGACGGTCCCAAACTTGAAAATAGAAAAGAGAATTCACAAGAATACTAGGACAAATAAGTGCACATGCCCTTAATAAACCAGAACACTACAAAGAATTGAAAGACGCGGCCCTAACTCCCTCATTGACAAATTCACGTCCATGAAAACAATTCAAAAATTCTATACAAAATTCAATCATTTTCAAGTGAAGCTCAAATTACCAAAAACATACCAAAAAATTGTAAATAACCACGCCGCCACAATAACAAAAGATGAGGAATTCAACCGCAAATCACGTCCAAAAACTCTTTCCCCAAAGTTGACTTAACTTTGACCTTTTTTGCCCGCCTGTGCGAAGAAAACAAAAACGCCTGTAGAGGAGAGGAGGGGGGAGAATCAAACCGTGCAGTTTGAAATGAAGACGACGCGTTGAAAAAACGCGAGTTAGAAAAAACGAAATGAGAAAGAAGACGGAACGGCCGGAGCAAAAGGGAACGGCAATGAAAAAAGTTGGAACGACACCCCGTCTTTGCGCCGGCCTTCCCGACTCCACCGCCTTTTCTTGTCCCCCTCAAACATCCTTTCTTTCTTCTTTTTGGCTCAAGCCGTTCCACCCCCGGGGACAACAAAAGGGTGACAATCGGCGGGGGTCGCGAACGCAGCCCCATGCTCACTTTTTTGGGGTCCGTCGTGTAAGTGGCCAAGTGCTAAAAACGAAAAAATGTTCCCGCATCACCGTGCCCAATTTCTCTTTGTCTTCTTTTTTCCTTCTTCTCATTCAAGATCTTCCATGTGCTGTGAAAATCCGCCCCGGTCCCGTAGGCCACCAAAAAAAGAAAGAAAATAAAAACAGCCCCGAATCCTCGAACTGCATTCGTTTCGTAGAGTCGCGGCGTTCTTGGGCCGACGCCAATCCGGCCCCAAATCAGTAGAAACAACTATAAATGCAAAAAGGATTTCGGAAAACGTCAAAGGAACGTTTTCGTGGCGTTCGTGGCTAAAGGAGGCAGAGAAAAACGAGAAAGCGTTAAAAATTAGACGTTGTAAATGTCAAACAAATATGGTTTATCGCCTGTTTTAAAGACAAACAAGACAAGTAAACACCAGGCTATCCTATTTAGGATCCAAATCGTCATAGCTCTCACAATCTGTCGGGACACTGCCTAGACAACATCAGAAGATTCATCGGCTGACAGCAAACAAGGGCGGAGCCAACGAAAAGCCATGTTATTAAACTGACAAAACTAACAAGAGAGAGACAAGTAACATAACTCGCCCAAATTTGACGTGGCTGAAAATCTGCGTGGCAGGGCTTGAAGCAAAAGCCGGAAACTGACCAAAACTAATGGGCATTGAGAAGCAATTTGGGCAAGGCACTCATTGTAAAAAATAAACTGCCCAATTTCGTCCCTACAACCACATTTTGAGCGGCAGCCATACTACTACGCCAAGACATAAAAATGTTGAAGGAGAGAAACGTGAAAACCCGAGCCATAAGAAACAAAACTGTTGTAGGGGAAAGAGAACGGCCGAACAGAAAAAGAACAACTGGTAATACACAGACCGAAAGAAAATCGAAAAAAAAACACACTTGGCAAGTAAGCAAAAAGAAAAAAGAGCCAAAGCGACCGAACGACCGACGTGTGATGGAGTGTGTTGTCTCTGCAGCGGCCCCGAGACTGCTTCAACAGCGACAGAAAAGGTCAGAGGGCAATGAATAGGCGGCGGCCCCAAAAGAACCCGGGAGCACATTCAAACCCGAGAGAGGAAAGGAATGATGAAAAACGTCCGTGGCTTTTCAGGGGGGGGGGGAGAGGGGGCTCTCAGCCCAAAGTGAAAACGTTTGCAGTGTTCCGATGGGGTGTGGTGCTGGCAGCAGCAAAATCAGTGTGGAGAATTGGAAAACCGACTAGGATTGGAATGGGGTTCGTGGGGGAGTTATAGTTCGAACGGAACGCTGCCCGCCGAGCCCCATTCACATTTCGCTATGTTTTCCTCTGCCTCTCTGCCTGATCTCTGTGCTGGTGGTGCAAGCGCGCTGGAAAAAAAAAGTTAGAGCGGTGCGGCCGACACGCCCTTCTAGCGTGAGTGATGGGATACACGGCGCCTTTCACCCCAAAAAAATATTCTACCTGCTTCTTGGCTGATTTTGGCGCGGTTTTAATCAAAAGATCAAAGAAGAGATGTAATTGATATTGGCAGCATTCAACGATAAAGTCAAAATTTATAAAGATATAAACAACAAAAGTTTAGAAGCCTTAGCAAGTTAACGTTAATAATTGTAGTACCAAGAGAAACACTAAAGTGAAGTTGTACGTGCGGAATGGAAACAAACCCCTAAAACTACTTCTAATTAATAAACTTTTTTCGCAAGTGCGTTTTATTAAAATTATTTTCTCACAGCTTAAATTTGTTTTCCAAATTTATTCTCGTATAAACAAAAAAAAGTTTCCGCAGTACTGACAGAACAAAAGAATTCAAAACAAAAAACTTTAAAAAATCAAACTTTGACATCTGTATCCTACTGGCTGTATTTAAAAAACCTTAAAAGCGAAAGGTGTCAGTATGCAGATCGCTTTTTATTTAGACCTCACACTTGTTTTATTCGTTTTTTTATAGTTAAAAAGGCCAAAGTTTCGACGAGTTTAAAACAATCCCGCCAAAGAACCTATCAAAGGAATCACATTATGCAGCTATATAATTTTATTTATAGTCCCATAAAGCAATTGCAATCAAGAAACACAAAGAATAAAAAAGTGTTAGGGCTGAGCAAACAAAATGTGCGACATATTTCCGTCTTGATTTGATTGGGTTATACAAACATTCCTCATATTTTACAATTTTTAAGTTATACAATAAAATTCAATATTGTCATTTAAAAATTGACGGTAAGAGGTTCGTGGGGACGTTTCTACCTGCAGTGACCTTATAAATCTTCATACAACAGTTTTAAACATAAAAAAATTTAAAAAATCCATGTCATTTCCGCGCTATTTATCTCCAAAAAACATTTGGCTGCTCATTTACACATTACTCTCTAGCTGAACAGCTGCGCAATTGGCCTTTCTAATTTCTTGTAGACTTTCGCTGAACATCTGCACTGATTTTTGGCCCTTTTCCAAAAAATTTAAAAAAGCATTTTTTCTAGACAACAATTTGAATTTTTTTCCTCCACCGCCGACAACATTTCAGAGGTGACTGTCAGCTGACTACTCAAAATTACTCATTGCCCTGGTAAAGCAATAAAAGTGCATCGAGGGCGACGACACCTCTGATCAAAATCTCCCGCCCAAAACAAGAATGCGAATTTAGGCCAACAAAAAAAGTGGTGGGAGATGCAAATATTCGGTCATTGCGAAAGAAAAAACCCAACCAAAATGTTTCCAATTCATTTTCGCTTTCGTTTTCGAAATGGCGGGCAAATTGGCAGCAGGACGGAACGAATGCATGAATACACTGTTCGTCGTCTTTCGCCACACAGACAAATGCAAAAATGTTTTGGAACAAAGTCATTTAAGAAAGTTTCGGCGTCGTTCCGCAAATCGTGAAAAGAGCATCGATGTGGAAAGTTAAGACCCATGTTTGGGGACTGACTAAACACTGCTTGGGAAATGTTCTTTTATGAGCACACAAAAGCGCGATTTTAAACTGCCTATAACTTTTTGTTCACAGACGGCTGTACAAACTATTTTTTAAACCGTTTTTACAAACAATCTTAACGCCGATGGAGGAAGCTCCAAATACAACTTTTCTGAAGCTTCAAATACGTACAACTCTCTTTTTTTTCGACTAAAAACTAACAAGAAGACAAGAAATAGCTTAAATTACTATAAAAAGACTTGAAAGTGCTATAACCTTGTAAACATTACTAAAAAAGGTTACATCTGGCAAATCCGTATAAAAAACTGCCTAATTTAACGCTTTACGAACGTCGGAAGCCCTACTACATAACTGACATACATTTTCACGCACATATTGGATTATCTGTCAAAATCCTACGATTATAATCCCATTTCACGCGAGTGTAAATATAGGCATAGTATAACACAAGCTACGGCAGCCAGACGTCTTTTCGCATGAACCCGTTTGTTAGCGCTATGTTTTTGGAACGCCAACAAAAACAAGCGTGCCAATAATAATCTCAAACCGTTACTCAGTTTTTTCATCTCGAAATTGTCTATCTAATTAAGAATTTCTTTGGAAAATAAAAAGACATTAACATTTTTTGCCTGCGACAACAATAAAAACTCAAAAAGGAAAACGGTAGAAACAAAGAAGGAATTAGAATGCCTAAAAAGTAATGGCCAAATTAGTCGGTAAGCTGACAAAAGCCTTAATCAGTAAACTGACAAAAAAAACAATAACGTAATAAGCAATCAGTATGACAAAACCATCACAGAACTGATATAAGCAAAGGCCTTCAATAAATAAACGAAACTCTTTCGCTTATCTGGAACGGCTAAAAATATACGCCGCGGCCCCCCGGAGGGGAGTGTTTGTTTGTGCAATTTGCAAATTTTTTCCTATGATTCATAAAACGTTAATGGCGCTTGTAAACATACACGTATAAATTCTATTGTTTGAATTCGAAATTGTTTATAGCTGAACCGATAGTTAAAGTTTGATAGTATTTATGTGGTGTCTGTTTACCAAAAGTGTCGTTTTGTGTTTGATATGGTAGGACCTTGTCATCATAGTGTCATTTTTAGAATTCATCAATATTTTTTAAGATTATCATTTGTCATCCACTATAATATATTATAGCGGTATATGACAACAAAATGTTAAGTTTACCAGCCATGATATTGACTATAAAGATAGATATCATCGCCAAAACCTTCAATATCTTATATTTTTTATATTCTTTAGTTAAAGCCACTTTTCTCAAAATAACTTCAATTTCTTGTTAGAATTCCTCAAAATTTTGATTGTTTGATTACTTTTGTATAGCATTCCTTTGCTCTCTTGAAATCTGAATCATTATTCGACTGATTCAAGAAGACTTTTAAGTGTTGTACACTATTATTTCTTTGGAGGGAAACAGCAAATGTTTGTTTGGTGTTCGCATTGTCCTTTAAAAAAGTGGAAACGAACGCTTCGACTCAATCCCACGTTCTGTTTTTTTAAATTCGTTTTTTTTTGAAAAAAAGAAAATTGGATAAAAAAATGATTTTTTTGGGAGTAAGAATGAGTTGCGCAGGTTTATGAAACAAGAAAAATGATTTGACAAGACAAATCAAATTAAAAAGCCCAAGTAAACCTGTAAGATTAAACGACAAAGAATCAAAAGCCTTAAATTTCAAGAATAAGTACCCAAAACCTTATAACTTAACTTCAAGAACAACTACTGGTCCTATAAATAGCTCTGATAATAGTACAACCGAAACAAGATCCCCCTCCTCAATTACCACAATAAGGCCCGCAATCGTGCTCAACGTATATTCGCCCCGCACTCGTGTCACATTACATGACGACAAAAACACACGATGTAACAAACTTGACTACATAATGAAGCCCAAAACGTATAGCTTACGAAATTTCGTAATACGAACGATAACAAAACTTATTTCGAAAGTTCAACCGTCCAAAATTGGTACAAAGTATGAAGCAAGCACGCAACGTGCTACAACAAGATAATACGTTGTTAGTGCGAGTAAAGGTTGACATTTCCGGTTAAATTCTAGTGTGCTATGTGCTAATTAGTGTCATATTTTATATGTTGTAATGTGTAGTATATTTGTTTGGATTTTGTATTATTAATACATAGTGTACACTTTCTTACTAATACAGTAGAACCTCGCTAAAATAGCCAAAAATAGTTCGGTATAAAAAGGTTAAACTGTATATAATGTTTTTCTTATAAATCTTATTCCTCTCGGTATTTAAACTTAAATTTTTGCAAACATAGCCAATCCTCCAAAGCCACAAAGCCCAATAGCCAATCCCCCAACCTCCTATAACGTATAATCCATGTTCTTTGCATTCAATTATTTCTTTTTTCGATTGTTTTTTTTCATTCCATTACAGATGCCTATTGTAAAAGTGAAATCGATTCTCGAAACGGCCTTGGAGTCGGTCTTATCTTGTTCGGTATCCCCATGAACACTACTTTTTCCCGAGTTTCAAGGGCGTGATTTTCTTTTGTAACAACTTTTTCGATTAAATTTGCCTCTGACCTTCAACTGTTTTTTTTTCGCCCTTCTCTTCTTTTCACTTTTTACAATCGACCTTCGCTTCTCCACCATATTTCCCTCGAGAACGGCGTTCTTGATATAGGGGGCTGATCTCCAACGTTTTTTCGAATGACAAACACAAAAAAATGCCCAACGTCAAGAGCACGAAAAAAAGTAATTACGTCGGTAGTTTACTGTTTTTTCAAATGAAAACTTCTTGTAAAGTGTGAATGAGTCATACAGTTCAAGGTGCCCAACTCACAAAACTCTCTTGCCGTCGTAACATTTATTATAACGGCAAGAAAGTATTGTCGTTTTTCAACGTAAAAATATACATAAACTGACGACAAACTTTTTACACTGTAGCTTAATAAAACAATCTTATCTACCAACCAACACAAGACCACAGCTCTCTTTAGAACGACACTAAACTACCAACCGATCTACAAAGACCTCCAAAACCTTTGTCATCTTCCCCACGTCTCACAATTAAAAAGTCCGGTTGATAAAAGTGCAAAGGTCTTATTTTAGTCAAATATGGCTTTTTATGTTCTGGGTTCAAACCAAGACCATGACTACTTTTTTTGCGTTTTTTTTCAATCCAATTGATAAAAAGTAAACAACTTTTTGATAAATTAGGTTTTGCTAGTTTGTTTACAAACTTGTAGCTGAGTTGTGTACCTAATCAAGGTTACTTAGAGCTTGCAATTTTTAAAGAATCGCTCAAAATGCATTTTGTGACCATGAAAATGGCAAGAATGTGCTGTCACTTCAATGATAATGCCCGTAGTGTAGAAAAATAACAATTTTTAAAAAAAGATTTCCACAAATATAAGTTGAATTTTGGCCCAGTTCCTGTACTTTCTAGATCACAGCATTATAAAAATCCAGAACTCCTAACAACAAGATTGTAAGTAAAAAGCTATCGAGGTCTGCCCAAAATCACCCTTATTTTGACTAACATCACCTCATACTCGTAGCATATCACATCCGAACCTTACTTTCTGCTCTTTGTCCAATTATGTTATCAGTAGCAATTAAAGACAAGTTAATGTTTCACCGTTTTTTTACAAACCATGCCACAAAACATACAATAGCAAACTTCAAAAACCTAGACTTACAAAATTGATCTACTACATAATAAAAGATTACCTATTTTTCGTAATTCTAGCTCTCGCACTACCTGTTTAATCTTTAAAATTCAAAACCTATTTGACACTGTTAGAAATTTACAAAAAAGGTAATGTAAACATACCAAGAATACCCAAAAAAAATTAAAATTTACCTTAAACATACACAAAAATTCAAAATTTCACTTTTTAAGTTGCAAAAATCAAAAAAGTGCTCAAAATTTTTCAAAAATACTTCAAAAGTTTAAAACCTTTACCATAAAGCAAAAATTAAACCTACCGCAACTATGTTGATCATGTTGGTAAACTGAGTTTCATTACATCTTAACCTCATTTTAGATTGCCGAAAAAATAAGCGAAACAGCGCTGGCACTATCGAATTGGTCACATCTACTAAAAATAGGAAAGTTATTATAACATAAGTAACAAAATAACCATTTTTTTCAATCTTGATGAGTTATTAAAAGATTTTACAAGCTTTCGGTCAAGAATGTTATAATAAAATAAGAAAATTCTATATTCAATGCTATGTGAATGTTAACCGGGTTAATATTGTACTCTTATCAAGTAAAACAATTAAAAATGTCACTTTCTCTTGCCCAAAACTCAAAGCCATACCTAAAATTCAAAAAATCTAAACAAGCCAAAACCTTACTCTGAGCAACATATTCATTCTCAAACAGATATGTGATTGTAGTTAAAGCCGTGTTCTGTTCGTTTTCATCAGTCGAGTCTATTGTTTTGACAAGTTGTTTCACTGTTCGATCAGTCAGTTCATTCAGTTCTTGGTACATTGCTTTGACTGATAGCTCGCTAAATACCTCGCGAACCTTTTCAATAACAGCTTTTCGAACCGGGCCTTCGGATTCGAACAATTTATCCAGCGAATCGAAAAAGTCGTCCATAGAAAAGTCAAAATCAGGGCTTTTTCGAATCGCATCGCTCAGGTTGAAAGCTGCATTTAGTCTGAAATGACATTAGTTAGGCAATATGAACTTTCAAGTAAAAATTTTTTGAAAAAAATCCAATAGAAAACCCTACATAATAAAAAATCAAAAATTTTAGGTAACAATACTACTTACAATATTAAAAGCAGCAATTCTAATCATGTTTAAACAGTCATAATCAAAATTTTGACATGAAATCACTAATTTTTGAAAAAAATCGCGTAAATCCAAAATGCAAAACTTTAAAATTTTAGGTAACAAATTTTTCAAAAATCAAAAAGAAAGCTTAAAAAATCTGTTTAATTTCGAATAAATTTTTGACCAAAGTCAGCTCCAAAGTACCTTTCTTGTCATTTTGTTACTTATTCTTCCGCAAACTTTCCAGATTAACCTAAATTCCAAACAACAAAGCAAATTTTAAAAAGCATACCGTTCCTTGTCTGAGTCTGAATTGCAAGCGTCCACAAATTCTTGAAATGTAAATTGAGAAGAAAGAGCATAATCTGAAAAGGCAAAAACTTAATTTAAAATACCGTAAATTGCACTTTTAACTATCAAAAATGTGCTTTTTCGTTAACAAAGTGACGTGTTATAAACACAACTACTCGTATTTTACAAAGTGCAGTTTAAAAAAGTAAGTAAAAAATTAGTATTATTTAAAAATGGCAGAAAACAAACATTTTCAACACAAACAAGCAAAACACATCAACATATAGTGTTAGATTAGACTATTGCACATTAAAAAACTTTTTCGATAATAATGTAAAAAATAAGGTTTTTAGGTAACAAAAAATCATAAAATATCATTTTAGAAACAAATCCCAAGAAAAGTTTTTTAGGTAACAAAAAATCATAAAATACCATTTTTAAAAACAAAATCTCAAAAAACAGAAGCCTTAGGTAACAAAACTTAAAAAATTACAATTAGTCAAAATCAACCAACAAAAATAAATCCAAAACAAAATTACCGTAGTCTTCGCAGTTGGAATGGAGAATCATCCCGTCGTCTGAAAATGGCCAGGTTTTACGGTTCGCAACCGGAAGCAAATAAATCATGTAGCAAATGAATACGAGCACGTAATTCACGAATGAAAAGTAGACCACTTCCCCGATGATAACAACGGCCGCTCGCATTAGGAGATTGTAACAAAGTGGCCATACTTTTAGAAGATTTTGCGATTTCAAACTTTTTAGAAGTTGAGTTTCAAATATCGAAACATTTTAGGTATGAATCGAAGAAATAATATGAAAAAAAAAATTTTCAGGAATTCCTTATCCCTCCGCCACTGACTGACCGTGTCTGCCATCTCCCAGTCATTGCCAGTTACCGATGCCTCTGCTCTCCACATCAAAATCGACCATAATTTCAAAAGCAAAACTATACTCACCTCAATTACAATATAAAATGCTACAATAGTCATTTTCGAATAGTGAAACTAAGGAAACTATCAAAAAACCACAAAGACCAAGATAACTTATGTCATGTTACCCAATGTCCCACAATCAGAAAGTCCGGCCTTTCCTGCCCTCCCCTTACCATGCCCCAGCCCTCTCCGACCGACCCTGTCCTCCCCTAAAAACACCCCTATTCTCCACACCAAAATCAATTTCAAAACCAAATCCATACTAATCTCAATTACAATATAAATTAACCCAAAAGTCAGTTTCGAATCAGTGGGAAAACACAGAAGACAAAATATAAAAAATTTATATTGTTGAGCGCTAAAAGATTAATTCATTTGGCAATTTCCGCCTTTTTTATTAGTAGTAAATAAAATAAGAGTCGACAAATTTGCTCATACTTTTTTAAAGCCTTGCACTTGGCACAACAATATGTTTTTTTGGGATAACAACTTCTCGTAATGGGGTTATTTACTTTATAGTTGTGAAAAAAATGTAGAAAATTATCAAAATACTGTAGGATATTGTTATAGAAAACAAAAAAAAATGGCCATGTTTACTATAAGAAAAGTCGCTTATATAAAGTGTTTGATATAAAATACATAACAAAACAGTATCATATGGACCATCTCATATAAGCACCTTCTTCACAGTAAACAAAATACGGGCGGTTTGTGTTTCTTACAACAAGATCCTACAGCATTTTACCCTTTTCCAATTTTTTTTCATAATATAAAGCAAATAACCCTATAACAATAATAAGTTCTTACCCCATTACGATAAATAACTTATCGCACAAAAATATTGTTGTGCCTATTGACCGTATTAAAAACCCAAAACTGGTCAAAATTGATAACGTATTTTACCACGCATATGCTCATTTTACCATGCCTATACTCACTTTACCATTCCTATTCTCCACAATAAACTCGCGTGGCCAAAGAACATAAAATCATCATGTCCTGACCACATTCTCTCCGTTCGCTTCGCTTTTTAGCAGCTTTCAGCGTTCGAAAACTTGCTCAAGACGTTTGTCCTCAAAACCGCCAAAAAACGTTTCAAACAAAAACACGGGCGGCTGTTTCTGATATAATAAAGAACACATTCATTAATCTGCTAAGAAAAATGCAAAAAATCTTTGATCATTTGGCAAGAAATAGCAAAAAACTTTAGTTCCTTTCTTATCAAAAATGCCAAATTTAAAAAACCTTAAGAAAATAAAAAATTATTGAAAAACTTAATTTAAAAGAAATTAATCGTGGTTTTAAAATCATAAAACACTTCCGCCTTCATCAATTTGAAATATATCTTATATTAGACTATACGTGATACTAATACATTAGTCTTTGAAAGAATGTCTATTGGTTTTAATTCATCACACACGAAACGTTTATTTCTTAAAGTACTTGAGCTTGTTTTATGGATGTTTTATTGCTTTAAAGAGATTGTTCTACATATTTTTATCGTTATATTCGATAATTTATAAGCATTCTAAGGCTGTTAATGTTATTTTTCAAACAAATAGGTTAAATTATCAAAAAGTGCTGTTATAACATTAATTTTAACCCCAAAATTACAGAAATGTAAGCAAAATCCATCAATAATGTCAAATCTAGCATAAAACAAAAATTACACCACTAACACACAACTACCCCAACTTATAAACCATTCACTGATTCCAATATAAAAAGCAAATTAACATCTTCGAACAATTTCCTAATTTACAACAGTATTTACGACATAATCTACATGTTAAAGTCGCACAATACGCACAATCAAGCTAAACTGACTTATCTACCAGTAATTTTCCAAAACCAAACCTATTAGCCTCTAACACAACATCGAAACTCCAAAGTAAAATTTTTATGCTTTATATAACAAAAGTAACATAACATTTGTCATTTCAACTTTTACAATACAAGATGTAATTTGAACGTCCCTACAGCTGTGTTTTTCTAATAACAAGCTTCTGATAAAACTCAATCACAATTATAGATAAAAGCTGATGTAAAAGTAAATATTTTGTTGATTTTAATAAACAAATACTTCCACTATTTCCTACCTTAACTACTGATAAAACCCAAACTCATTTACGAACCGATAACAACCGCAGAACAGAGTTACACTACATATTATCATAAAGATACCCACCCCAGTGCTTCTTATCCAAAGACTACTTTAATCTTTAAAATAACAAAAAACCAAGCTTGTTACAATTCCAAAGCGTTAAACAAAGCCATGTGCAAACACAAAAAGCAATTCAACACCAAAACAACCTGTTTTAGCAGTATATTACACTAACAAGTGTAACATAAACCTTCTTTATAAATTCACGTATACCTAAAAACATAAACCACAAAACAAAAACACTTACCTTCACTATAACGAAGAGCCATATTTATATTGTAGTCTACTATAATACAAATTAAATCAGTCGTTACGAAATGATATTATTTTAGCTCAATTGGTTGAGCTGCTGGAACCAAAGTTTGAGGTAAATCTGAAATAAGAGAATTTAAGAAAAAGTAGGTTTGAAATAAAAGAAAAAGGCGTGATTCACGTTTGTAAAAAATGTATCAAATTATATTACCTAAAGAAGTCAAACTGTGAAAGGAATTGTAAAGTAGATCAAACTTTCAAAAAAGGTAAGACCATTAACAATTAGTCTTGAAGTGAACGAATAAAAATAGAAAAACCACTGAAATATACAACAAAAACACTACAGGATCTCAGCTTTATTTTAACGTATAATTTCCTCAAAAATTGCCAAAATTTAATACCAAAAATATATTATACATGCCAAACTTTAAAAATAAGCTCAAATTATCATTACCTAAAGAATCAAATTTCAAATCAAGCATGTTATACATTTAAAAATTCTGCATAATCTCAGACAGTATGTAACACTAAATTCGCCTCATGACCTCGCCAAATATTTAAAACACAAATAAACCTAAATATTTATATACCTAAACGAATCCCTTTGAATATTATACAAATTACAAACTAAAAGACTCTCCCTAACCTCATACACATTTCACATCCAAATTCACTCAAGAATCCGTCCCATTTCCCTCCAAAACCTTATATTATCCATGCCCAAATTGTAGATTTAACGATCCATAACAAGTAAACCAACCCAAACACCCCCAAAACATGTGTGGTTAATTAACTAGAGCCCATTAATTTCATCCGCTTGACCTTGTTTCATCCATCTTTTGGGGTGAGAATCGACGTGTAGTTTGGTTTACGACACTTTTAATGGCACCGATTCGCATTCAATTGGCATAAATAATGGCCGGCGGGCAAAAAGTCAAAAAACGACAAAAAATTTTGGAATAATTTCGAGCTTGTAAAAAAAAGTTTTTTTATTTCATTCTCGTCGTAGTCACGGGAAACAAGCGGGCGGAGTGGAAAATGTGGGAAAAGCGAGGAAAATAGATCGCGCTCGAGCGGAATGCCAATGAGCGCCGTTTTCGCGCGAAACGAGCACATTTGAATGTGAACATTGTTAACTGAGGTTTCGGAAATTGATAATGTGGTTATAATTATCATTATATAATGCAAATAAATCGAACAAATAAGATATTACACAATTTATTTAAAATACAACAAAAAATCGAAAAAAATGGAATTGAAACAAGGGTAACATCGGTAGATGAACGAAATCCTTCATAACTTTGCTGAATCTAATCAGAGTTGCTTTAAACTTTCAGAATATGTTCATTAAACTTATTTGTACCTAAAAAGTAATGTTACCTAAAATGCAAAGTTGTTTTCCCAATAATCTAACATTTTTTAAAAGATAGGTCTTTGCTGTTTTAATCGGTACTTTTAAAAATTTGTATAGAAAAAGTCGACCTTTTGAAACCTACTTTGTCGTATTCATAAGTGCAAAGGATCAATGCCTTTCAAATGTCATAAATTTCAAAAATTCAAAACTTTTTAAAACTTTTTTATTGCGAACAATATAAATATCCATCAAATAATAAGTAGAAAGAATGATTTGGTTAGAAAAAGGCACTGTAGAAATTCACAACATACCGTATTTTAGTCAAATATTAGTATGAAAAGGGGTGTAAGGCACGAAATGGTATTATGAGACTGTATGTTAAGTATTATGTTTGTTGCGTAGTTAAATATTCTATAGGAAGGTTATTATGAAAGTAGTTGCTCTATGATGCTCTGGTCCGAAAGTTTTGGGTTGTAAATCATTTTTTTTAAATTAAAATGTGGGTTTTAAAAAACTTCAAAATTTTGCTTTTTTTAACTTTGAAATTTAAAAAAACCGCAAAAACTTTCGTTACAAAGAGGTTGACTACAAAAACTGACCAATATGTTGATTATGACTGTTTTTTACACTAACAAAACAAAACAAGAACTAGAATTAGATAACAAGACCTAGTAATAGATAAAAAATTCAATAGAACATTTAGTTTGGGTACTATATAGTACCAAAATTAGTATTGTATTAGTACTAATTATGGTCTTTTGATGCCAAAATTACAGTACTATTAAGTGCTATAAAGCACTATTTTTAGTACTATAAAGTACTCCTGTCAGTACCATAAAGTACTTTTCAGTACTATAAAACACTATGTTTAGTACCTTCTCAGTACCTCAAAGTACCCTTCTTAGTACCATAAACTACCCTCGCAAAATGTTCTTTTACCCAGAAACAAAAAGACTGTTATCGACCGGTCGTTCCACCTATTTGGGCGTGGTATCGTAGGGGTCGGCGCGGGCCTGGCCTAGAAACCGGCGTTGTTGGGCGCCCGTGTTCAATATAGCACCTGAAATCAGCCGGTTACGTGGGTTAATACGGTTAAAACGATCAGCATGGTGCTAGTAGTACTATTAATATAAAAAAGCTTGTATTCTATTCGGTTGTTCAAATAATTCTGCACCCCTTCTCAAAGAAAATTTTCGAGGTTAGGGAGCACAGAATTATTTGGACAACCTAGTAGTTAATATAAAGTTATAAAGTATACTGTAACAATGATTGAAAATGTAAAAGCTACTGTAAAACTGTACCACCAAGTAAAATTTTAAACTATTGAAAAATGATTTTAAAAAAATAAGTTTAAAAAAATCCAGTTAGTAGCTATTATACATCTACATTATCATAGTGCAGACATTAAGCGTTACAACAACTTTGAGAAGTTACAGTATACCCATAGCCCTGTACATAGCTGATCTTACAATAACAACTTAAAGGCTTTACAGTAAGTGTTATTACTTACAGTAACCATTTAAAGCTTTAGAAAACTCCATATTAAACAGAAAGGAGGGGTTTTGATTCAAATTAGTACTGTAACTTTTTTAAGGCTTCAAGTAGTACTGTAGCTTTGCTTTGCCTCTTAGGTAGTACTGCAACGTCATTTCTCAAAGTTATTGCACCATAACCATGTAAAACTATTAAGAGACAGGCATAGTGACATTAATATAAGCACAGTTAATACTACAATAACACAAGGCTTTACATACTGTAACTTTTAGACCATAAATGATCCTTTTATACAAGAAATAGTATTTCTAAACCAAAAATCAGTTTATGATAAAGAAACCTACTGTAAATTAATAATTTAGGCCGAATTAAACTAACTTATCAAAAATACAGCATCCTCTAGCTAAAAAAATATTACAGTAAGAAAGCCTTGCGTTACCACAGAAAATTGTTAAAGATTAAGAATTGTAATTTAGGGAAAAAAATCTTCACCAACAGTTATACGAATATCGATTATTAGGAAGCTTTGGTTACGTAAAACAACTGTGTTAGAACGATTTTTCCACAAAATTACGAGAACTTTTGAAATCGAATTTATTTTCAAAATAATTAAAATTTCGAATAATTTAATGTCATGGCATCGATATGTAGACAAGTTTGGCTGATCTTTACATTATTAAACTATGTAACGATATGTCACAAAAAGTATTGGTTTTTTCGACGAAATGTCAAAGAAACTATTGAATTTTTTAAATTGAAAATTGATTTTATGTCACAAAAAGTATGAAATTTTTTAAAATCTCCAAATTCTAGTTTTAACTTAAAAACGTATTGTAAAATACATATTAAACAATTTTTTGTTTTAAGCAAAATTTCAAAAAAAATAAGTAGTTTTTTTTGACGAAATGCAACAAAATTATCGGTTTTTTAAATTTCGCCCAAAAACTTTAGAATAGTCAAATAATGTAAAACCAACCAAATTTAAACTTATATAAAACTATATCATACATCTATCACCCAGTATTCATGTTTTTTTGTATCACAGTTGTAAAAGTTCCTTACCCGAGATCAGACTTATCACAATATAAGAAAAAGTAATCGATGTTTAGTTGTTATCACTGTTTAATTTTATGCAAAAAACTTTGAACTTCATCTTTTTACTTCAAAAATCTGTTTTAAATTTTTTAATAGCTATAACAACTAACCATCCTAACCAATATATACAAAAAGCGTAAATCAATATTGACATTTCGTCCAAACCCTTAATTAAGACTTATAAAGACTCAAACACCCAAAAATAACTGACCGTGTTGGCTAACGTCGTACTTGTACTCCCCTAGGCCAGCGACAGCAGCCGCAGGATTCAACATGGCAGCCAGTTGTTGCTGTTGTTGTAGCAGAGCCAACTGATCGTATCCACCCATCAACAACTGCTGATAATCAGGCGCAGCTGTAGCCGTTGGTTGTTGAAGTAGTGCAGCTTGACCACCTAGAGCTTGCATTTGTAAAGCTAGTATGTTGTTGTTCGAGGCTAGGCCATTGCGTTGTTGGGTAGCTTGTTGCATGATGAGAGGGGCGCCGGCTAGGGCGGGGGAGCCGCGTAGGACACTGGCGGCGGAAGAGGCTGAAAATTTTAGATTATATTGTAAAATACGTTGAATTGAAATTGTTCAATATAACTTGAAAGTCAAGAAAAGAGGCCGTAGACCTAGCTCTAGCTTTAACTCTAGCCCTAGCGCCTAGCTCTAGTTTTAGTTCTAACTCTAGCCCTAGCTGTAGCTGTAGCTCTAGCTCTAGCCCTAGCACTAGCTCTAGCTCTAGCTCTAGCTCTAGCTCTAGCTCTAGCTCTAGCTCTAGCTCTAGCCCTAGCCCTAGCTCTAGCTCTAGCTCTAGCTCTAGCTCTAGCTCTAGCCCTAGCCCTAGCTCTAGCTCTAGCTCTAGTTCTAGCTCTAGCCCTACCAAACCAACAAAACTTACAATTAGCAGCAGCAGCCAACGCAGCCAACTGTAAATTGTTTTGGGCTCCATTTCTGTAAGTTCCATTCAAAATGGCCAATTCCATAAGTTGTTTCTTCTTTAATTCATCCTCACCTTCGGGCGATGGCACTAACAACTTGTTGACTTCTTCTCGAGCTCTTGCCATTTTGGCAACGATTCGGTTTGGAGTGTCTTCACATTGGATCAAAACATGCAGTTCTTCGTTCAAATGCTCCCAGTTTGGCTTGCCTGTAGGTTTAGCGGTTAGAAAATTTAAAAAAAATTCAAAAAATTTTTAAAAAATTTTTGTGCCATTCTTTTATAAAAAATAAAACCAAATTTACCTTTGTTCTGATCCTCCTTCTTCTTGTCCCTAGAAGATCCTTTTCCTCTGACCATGATCTTGCAACCAGTTTCAGTCTCCAATTGCTTCGCCGTCATTCCACGCGGACCCAAGATTCGGCCGACGAAGTTATATTCTGGGTATTTACTGACCGGTACAAACACTTTTTCCTGTTTCATCGTTACTTCGCCCTCCGGCTCGGGAAGAGTCAGGGGTTCGCGGGTGAAACCGCATTGGAATAGAGATACTCGGACTCGATTGATCTCTAAAATACGATATTTATAAAGATTTTTAAAAAGTAATTTTTTTATTATTTCCATTATCGACCAGTCGGTTTTTACTATTCTCAACCCTTGGGTCATTTCCTTGCTAGTAAACTCTTAGGCTGAACCAAAAGTATACATATAAACCGTAAAAACCCGTCCCACCTACCATCATCAAGCAGTCGTTCCATGTGTTGAAAGACGTTCGGGAAGGCGGCTAGCTGTTTCTTGTCCTTGAGCAACTGTGTCAGATAATCAACGTCGGGCGTGGGCTTGTTAATCGCCGTCATTAACCCATTAACCGAGCCATTTGTGTGGACTGAAGATGAGGAGGAGCCGGACCCGTTCAATAAGTCATTGCCGAAAGTGGGCGACGTGCTGGATGGTGCATTTAGTGCTGCTAGCTGGTGCTGAAAGATGGGTTTGATTAGTAAATGTTTTAATGGTTATAATATGTTATCTTGAAAGATTAAAAAAAAGTTTTTTTTAATTAAAAAATTTTATTTTTACAAGTTTTTGTTGGATATTGTAGTAGGTATAAATATTGTAGTAGATCTTTACCTGAGAAAAACTTTGACTAAATAATTGAAGTTGGAAGTCTTTGTCAAGTAAAATGTCTTCAAATATCCCCATGTTTGAAATTTAAAAGAATTGTAATCATTAGTTTTTGGCTAGCGAGCAAAAAAATTTCCAAGGTATAGCTGTGTCTAGTGTAATATTTTAATTTTTTAACAAAATCAGTAATAAATGATAGCCAATTTTGTAATAGTATTGTAGCCAAGACTTGTAGCTTTTCAAAACGTACAAAACGAAGTAATTTGTAGCTTTAATTTACATAAAACAACAAGATTTTAAAAAATTTTGTCAAAAAACCCAAAAAGTTAGTCTTCAACAAAAACTAAAATTTAGCAGCAAAACTTGTTAAAAATTGACAATTTTATTATAAAAATAGAAAAAGCACAAATTTTAATATCCGAAATAGCTGGGAATGTAAATTTAGCGCTCAATCTTCACCTTCAGAATACTTCCGACTCAGAATGCAGTGGGATAAGACGCTTTTGTGACCCCGAACTGCCTTTACGAGCCGTTTTATCGCCTTTATCCCACAACGAATCTGGCCCCTTCATCGGCTTATAAACGTTTGCTAATGTTCACAACACAAGAGCCGCTCTTGTTTTAATCAGTTGGCGTTGGACGGTTTTTTTTTTGGTTTTTGCAGGAAAAAAGCTTTTAAATTATTCTTGAAAAACTGTATTTTTAGTAGATTAGAACTAAAGCTAAGGCAAAACCTAGAGCTAAGGCTAGACCTTGAATTAAAACAAGACCTTCAGCCAAGACATGGCCTTGACCTAAGGCTAGATCTTGAGCTAAGACAAGGCCTTAACCTAAGGCTAGACCTTGAGCTAAGGCTAAACCCCAAGCTAGGAATGGGGCTAGGGTTACAGCCAGGGCTAGAGCTAAGGATGAGGCTAAGACTAGAGATAGGAATTAGGCTAAACTTAAGTCTAAGACTAAGGTTAGACCCCAGACTAAAGCTAGGGCGAAAGCTAAGGCTAGACCTAAGACCTCCCCCCCCCCTCCTTTTCTCCTCCATCCTGGTCTAGAGCTAAGTTTAGACCTAAAGCTAGGGAAAAGCCTAGACCTACAAGCTAGATCTTAATCTGTGCTAGAGACAAGACTGAGATTAGCGCATAAGCTAGGACAAAGACTAGGGCAAAAACTAAAGCTAAGCCACGGACTAGATCCTACTTTAACGCTATTTTTTAGAAAATCATTTCGTTAGTCATGACCTTTTTTGAAATCAACAAGCTAATATTATCACTAACAAAGTGTAAAATACGTCACAATGTAAATCTACCATATTACTCTAACTATTAAAAATTTACAAAAGACACAAACGTCAAAAAAATCGTCTAAAATCAATAAATTAGTAACAATTACCTGAATTAACTCGAAAAACATGGCTCATTGAATAGGAAAAGGTAACAATCGAGAGTCGAGCTTGTTTTAAAATATTTTTTCTTCAGAAACAAACAGGCAAAAAGAGAAATAAATGTTCGTTGTAAATTCCCCAAAAAACCACCGAAATTAGGGGCTGCGAAATTAATGACAAAACAATCGCTGGGCTAGTTTTTTGGGTTTTTTGGTTGATTTAGGTAATGAGACGTTTAAAACTTGTGAATTATGACAGTTTTATAAAATTAAAACTTTCTGTTTTTTTTAAAGAAAAGCTGACTTACAGCGCATTTGAAAATAAAGCGGGTTACTCAGAGATAAGATATAATTACGGTAAGGAACAATAAGGTAAGGTTAGACATAGGGAACAAGCCGAGTCAAGCCCACTTTTCTGACCCGGTCCGATCTAAAGTTTGGTCGAGGCCGGTCTGGCCGGCCCGTTCCTTATGGTTAGGTAAGGGGAAGTAAGGTATGTCAGAGTAGAGCAACTTAGAGCACAGTAGGGTAAAGTAGGGTAAGCTAGGGTAAAATAAGGAAACTAAGAGTAAGGTAGGATAAAGTGGAGCAGTATAAGGTAGGGGTTGGGTAGGGTAGGGCAGGGTAGGGTAGGGTAGGGTAGGGTAGGGTAGGGTAGGGTAGGGTAGGGTAGGGTAGGGTAGGGTAGGGTAGGGTAGGGTAGGGTAGGGCAGGGTAGGGTAGGTTACGGATACGGCAGGGTAACTAAGGGTAGAGTAGGGTAGTAGGCTATAGTACGGTACTATAAAAAAATTTTTTTTGTAGAAAATTTTGAAATTTTAATTTTTTTCAATTTTTCAAAAATGTAATTTTCTACAAAAATTGTCGAACTTACCGTATCTAAAAGCGATTCCGCCATCATAACCGTAACGAATAGAAATTTGCGTAGATTCCAAAGGAGAAAGTTTGTACAAAATGAGAGATTTTACGTCGTTGAGATTCTGAAAATTCAAAACAAAATTACTACTTCATAAAATTTTCCATTTTAAACTTTTACTTACTATTACATACACGATAGATAATGCCTAAACAAGCATAAACCCTTTATCATAATACTAACATAAAGAAGTCCCACACTACTGTCCAACAATAATATAAAGACCCTGCTACAGTACCACAGATAATAGTATACGATAGCTAAACGCATCCAAAACACAATAAAGTAAGAGTGAACCAGTAATTAAGCTAAAGATTAAAACAAGTAATGTTGTTTACAGTTAGTTATCCCGAATCTCTCTCTAGATATAAACCATGCCGTTTCTTGATACCTCCTTATCTTCAGAATCGCGCAGTGCTTTTGCAAAACAACTTTTGACAGAAAATGGAAGTAAAAATCAATTTTCTAAACCTCCTTTTAACTTTGACAAAAGTGAACACACTTCCCAAAAAGCCGTTTTATTTAGTTTGAAGTTCAACTTCTACACCGCCCTGTATATTTTTTTTCAAAAGATAGAAAAAAAAAAATTGTTTCTAACCCTCCCTAGCTTTAATAACCCGCCTAGTACTGAATACAAAATTCCTATAGGTACCAGCCCCACCTCACGATGCACTACCCTGTAAAAGGCCCAGTACTAGCTAGAAAAATGCCTAAAGCCATCAGCTCTACCTGCCTTACCCTATCGTTCTCTTTACACGCCCAATACTGGCGAAAGATGCCTAACCATCAGCAAACCAATAAAAAATTTTTTTCCAAAAATGCAAAAAAAAGCATTTTAAATTTTCATTTTCACGGCAAAAAATCCCAAAATTATACAAATTTTGCACAAAGAACGATGCACCGTGCCAGAAATGCAAATCCTCAATTGCGATCCGCCCGGAACAATGCAGAATAGAGAAGAAAGGGGAGGATAAACGAATTTCAGCGTTTTTTAACGAAAGGAGACAAAAGTGAAGTGTCGAAGCACTTAACAATCGTCGTTTCCCTTCCTTGAGCTATATTCTGCTAAAACAATTCTCGGGTCCTTGTTTTTCGCAGCAGCGCGCGGGCCCTAACTCAATTTTTGAAAAAAGCGCACGGTCTAGATGAAAAAAAAATATGCATCTACAGGGGTTTTACTGTAACTACCCTACCCTACCCTACCCTACCCTACCATACCATCCCTTACTTTATTCTACCTTATAGTACTGTATCATCCAGACGCTACGCTACCCTCTCTGCTCTACTCCTATTATACTCTACCCTGTCCTACCTCACCTTATTCTATCTTACAGTAGTATTTTATTACAGTACCTACTGTACTAATGTTGGTCATATTTTACCGTACCGCAGCCTTCTTTAGCTAGCCTTCCCCTAAATAATTGCTTTCAAAACCTAACCAAATAAATAGTAAGTAAGGGTACTGTAAGTACTACAAGATCTCAAAATCAAATTCTATTTGGTCCACTTTGAACTAGCCAGCTCTCAAAAAACGGAAGTGACAAAACTTTTGTCTAAAAATTGCGATTCTTGCGGATACTTGAAATTCAGATCTTGTTTACAAAGTCTTCTTTGCTATGGGGGTTGTAGACGTAATGCAAAGTTATTGAAACTAAGACGATAACATTAATCAGGCACTTGAAAACCTACGTAGTTAAGTTAAGAAAGTTTTAAAAATTTTTGTAGTTTTGCAAATTTTAGAGCCTTCTTCTATTTCAACCTCACTCCTACCCTGCCCTATCCCACTGCAACCATACGACGTTACAAGCCAGCCCTTCTCTTACCCCGCTCCTAACCCTCTGCTACCCCTCTCTTAACCTACTCCTACCCCTACCTTGTCTTGAATGTTTTTTATATTTTACCCTACCCAAAAAACATCTTTTTACCCCACCCGTTTCGCAACGTTAGTTATATGACATTAAGGTAAAAAGTAATATAACTCCGTGAACGGGCTACAAATTGGAGTATTCAAAAAAGGGAAATCCGGATTTTTTTGTCGAAAAAGTCAGCTGATCGGTTTTTGTGGAAGATCGTCTTCCATTTTGAAACATGTGGAAAGGGGGCGGACATAACTTTTTGATTATTAAATGTCATTGTTTCATATGGCTGTGGGTTGTTTAAATTTATGGGACATAGTTTGTTAGTCTGTTCTGGGTTTGATACATTTCAAAAATTAACTTTTTTAATTAAAGCAGGATTGGCAGATGTTCTAGGGTTAAGTAAGGTGAAGGTAGGTAAAGTAGGGCATGGTAAAGCAGGGTAAGGTAAGGTAATGGCGGATAACGGTATGATACGGCAAAATAGGATAGGGTAGTGTAGGTTAGAGCAGCGTAGGGTAAGGTAAGGTAAAAAAATGTAGAATATGGTAAAGTAGGTTAGGGTAGGGTAAGGTAGGATAGATAATAAACCAGAATAGTCCAAAGTAAAAATTTTTTTAAAATTTTTAATTTAAAAGCCTTAGCTAAAATATTAAGCAAAAACACCCTTCCACTTCTTACACCCCCCCCCCCCCGTTTCCTGTCTCTCCCCACCTCCACTCCTAACAAAAATATAGAACACACCTTACCTAACCCTCTGACTCAATACCTATCACTCAATAGACAGATTAAGCCACCTGAAATCGCCCTAAACCACCGCCTTTGAAAACCCAAACCCTTTGTACTTTAAGACAGAGGGAAAGTTTCGGGGTTGATCCGCCAGACCCCCCCCCCTCAACTCTCAGGCCCTAAAAATGATTTTACACTCTTTGGCCGAATCTTTTTTTGCTGGCTGTCAGGGAACAGGAAAAAAAGACTCATTTGTTTCCGCGATCGGCCGCGTCAAATGAACTTTTTGGCATTTTCTCGAGACAATTTTAAGATTCGTCTTCTCGAGTCGAGAAATAGAGGCTTCGGGTAATTATTAGCTAGGTTTCAAAAGTTTTTTAAGCTAATTATAACAAGTACAAAAAAAAATTAAAAAAGTTGAACGTGGTCCCCCTGTTGATTTTTAAAAAAAAAATTTAAAAAAATTCCTTCTGCTGTTCCCTCAATACAAAAATTTTTTTGCTTCCCAATCCTTTAAAAAACATTTTTGCCCCCCAAACCGCCAAAAAATTTTTTGCTTTTCAGACCCTTTTAAAAAAATTTTTTTCCTTCAAATGTTTTTCACTCTCACAGATCACTAAAACATTTTTTTGCCTCCCTAACCCCTTAAAAAAATTTTTTTGCCTTCCCTGCCCTATAAAATGTTTTTTGCTTTCTCAACCCCCTTCCTTATGCCAAAATTGCCCATCCACCACTGTCACTATATAAGCCTAAAAATAAGCTTAAAAAGAAGAAGCAGCTTTTGCAAAAACAAAAAATAAGCCTAACATATCAAAATCAACCAAACTTCCTGCCCATACCGTTCTTTTGTTCAGAAATTGCCTATTTAATCACTGCAGAAAGCAAAAAGTGACCAAAAGCACGTCAAAAATGTAAAAAATCCATCAAACTCGTCTGCAATTCTTTGAAAAATCAGTAAAGAAAAACAGAAGCCATTCGTTACAATACTCCCTCGTTCGAGATAGTCAAAATCGATCAAATCTATCGGAATTTGATCACAATACCCGGAACTTTGTGATTGTTTTGGTGATTATAATACTTTGATACGATTCAGTTTGGGTTTTGGAGTTTTGTATAATAGTAAAAGTTTACAAGGTTGAAAAATATGATTACTGTAGCCAAATAGTTTTAGGCAAGACCTACACTAGCCTTAGCTTCTTAAACCTTAGTACTAATACTGGCACTGTAACGGGTCTTGGTTTTGGCTTTGGCCTGACTCTGCTCCTGTTCTTGATACTGGTCTTGGTCCCAGAACTAGCCCTAGCTTCAGAATTAGCTTTTAGACAAGAAAAACGGGCCAGGCCTGACCTAAATTTAAATCGGGTCGGGCCTAAGAAAAATTTCGCTTAAACCGGGCCTGAAGATTGATTCCGGCCCGTTCCCGTTACTTGTTTCTAAGATATAGCCTACCCTATTGTACCCCGCCATATCCTCTCCCCATGGGAATCTTATCATTTCACAGACATTATTGTACCCTACGTTGTATTGATCTAGCCCTATCCGCCCTACACAAGGCTATCCTAATCTACGCTATCTAATCTACATTAGATATTCTACATTAGATAAAGTAGAGTAGACAGTATAGCAAGATATTCTTCCTTACTATACTCTACTCAATTTTATCCTCCCCATCTTGCCGTAACTTTATCATTAATTATACCTTACCGTACTCTAAGTTGGCTTGATCTAGCCCCCTTACCCTGCCCTGTCCTACTCAAACCAGTCCTACTTTACCCCTGGAGACATTAAGCCAAGACATTTAAAACCTACCTCTTTCTTTCAAACTTAAAATTTAAAAACTTCAACTAATTGTCATAGTGTATGTCCAACTCATAAAAAAGTTTTAAAATATAATAGTTATAATAATAAAGTCATCAAAACCCCACGCCAAATTAGCAAAAATGTCAAAAACCGTTACGCCCCGGCTCTGAATAAACATTTTGATTGTAAGAAAAATAGAAAAAAAATTGGAGGGGCGAAAATCGAAAATGAAGAAGATCTTCTTTTGCTCTTCTGACTGCTCCCGTTCCAAAAGATCGCCGCGCTTTCGCCTGCTTCTACCTTCAAGGTAAAAAGGGAGAGGGGCAAGAGCAATTTCGAATAAATCTTAAGCGAAACAACTTTTTCGAGACTTGGGTCAACATACGGCTAACCGAGAAGAGGGGGGGGGAGAGGCTATAGGTGAGATGACGTTGGGTTAGGTCTGGTCATAGGTAATCAGTATAAAGGTTATGACAGTAAAAGGATATATATGTATGTATGATATAGTAAGCAACATACGACTAACTAGGGAAGGGGGAGGGAAGGTGCTAAAGGTAAGAAGTTAAAGGTTATGATAATAAGCGCTCAAAAAATTTTTTT